ATGGATTTCGCATTTTTTGAATTTGATGGATGTGGACCTTTATTTTGTCATTTACAAAAAATCTTGACAGAAACAAACACCTAATTTTCTCTACTAATTTGACCTCAAGTGCCACCAAATCCACCATTCTTTATATTATTATATACAGGGGTTTATACATAAAGTTTCTGTTATGAAGCGTCTATCATCTATCTGCTTCGTTTGGAAATTATCAAATAAAAAATTATGTTACTATATGTTAATCGGTGGAACCGGATAGTAACATTGAGACAAATTCCATTTATAAGATATAAATCTTAAACTAAATAACACATTTACCGTCGCATGGTATTACCGTTCATAGAGAAATAAATTATTGAAGTGGAAAAGACAAGATTTCAATTTGTTTTTTAATGGCGACAATATCAGACTTATCAATAGTAAAACTGTATGTTCGATGTAAACAAAAGACTAGAATCTATTAAAGCGGTCAGACCACAAGCTTCATTATTGTCCACTCGAATCCAAGTTTTGTAACTCAAATTCGACATCTCGTTTTCCAGAAAGTGATGGTTATCCAACTATGCCCCTCCTATTGAAATTGTTTAGAGTTTTTTCTTTCAGGAAATTAGATGTACCGAACCAAATTGAATTCTAATTCCAAGATACTTTTAAGTTATATTACTGGTTCATAATTTTAATTCTAATTACAATATACTTTTAAGTTATATTACTGGTTCATTATTTTAAGTTATATTACTGGTTCATTATTTTAAGTTATATTACTGGTTCATCATTATTATTTTTGAAGATATGGTATACATGATATACGAACATGTTAAAAATATAACAAAGGAAAATCACTTAATAAATTTATAAATAGTAGTTTTTATATGTTTTGTGATTATTCAAGCGTCTACTATTTTTGTCTCGTTGCACCCTTCTGATATACGGTCACAGCTATTAATTTCTATATTTATGTGATTAAATAAAATTTAGAAGATATATTATAATACAATGCAATGATCAAAATGTAAATAATCACCTAGCTAGGAATATGTTACACTATAACGCTAAGAAGTATATCTTAAGTTTTGAAAAAATAATTAGCATAGGAAAACGATGGAAAACATAATTGATAGATGGCAGAGACGGACCATATATGAAAGAAAAAGGGGCTTTTGCAAAATTCTCAAAGGGATTAAGGGAAGAATTATGAGATTAAAAAGAAATTCCATGTGACTTCTTTTAACGTTGGTGGGGTTCTATTCTATCCTCTCTCTCTCTCTCACGTCAAATATTATATAATGCATTGCCACAATGTCACTTACTCGTAAGTTCCTCATGTGCACACATGCCATTTCATGTGGATCTCTATAAGTCAAACCTTTTTCTATCTACACAATCCAATCAGTAATTGTTGTTTCACACTCAAGATGAAATTTGGAGCGACTCATGCAAATTGAAATATATTACAAAATATTGAAATGATCAACAAAAGTATTTGGTTGTATATAGGGCGACTGAATTTTTTCAGCGATCGAGCGCGACGGCATTCCATTAAATGTGTGTATGTTGTAGGGACAAATTTATTCGAATGAAACTTTAGGGAACATGTGAAAGAATTGAAGTGAGAAATAAAGACTAATGAGCAATATAAACCACATCGTGGAGTTTTTCAAATGATCAAGATGGGTACCAATATCCTCATGCTTTCATCTTCTTCTTTTTTTCTTTGAATATATCAGTTTGTCTCTCGAATAATTGCTTCGTGACGCATTCATGACCATGACATGACCGATGACCCACTTCGTCGTAAGAAACCTGCGAACCTTGTGGGCTTTCCAAAAGTCTAATTTCGAGAATCTCCTATATATTATTTCGTAACGCAGAAAGTCATAGTTTGGGCCCGTATTTTAGATATAGGAATTTCATGGGCTCTCTCAAAAAAAGAAAATCAAAACTTTCCAAAACATGTGCATTTGACATAAAAACTTAAAAGGATTGGGGTGAGAGAGGCTCGAACTCTCGACCTCAGGATCACTCAGTAGCTATGAGACCTACGCGCTAGCCAACTGCGCCACCACCCCAGATGCATTCTCAATCGAATGTAAAAATTATAAACTCATTTTCTTTATGACCAAACTGAAATAACTCTCTCTAATCCATAAATTTCACATTTAATTCTTCATGATGTCCCTATGATTGTCGTAATTACATTTTAATTACTGATAGATGCTGCAATTTGTATTCAGACAACATTACATTATATACCACTAGAGTACGTATTTGAAAGCAGTTAAGTGTGACAGGAAGTCCACGTGGAAGGAGCTGATAGTTCACACTTTCACAGAATCTCTCCAAATTTCGTTCTTAAACAGCTCTCTCTAAACTTCCTTCCAACTGTCTCTCCTCTTTGCCACGTTGCTTGGCCCCACTTTGCTTCCCCGGTCTCCCAATTTTTTATTTTAAAATCCAGACTATCATTTTCAGTTTTTTTTTTTAGTTCTATACTATCTTTTCTAGAAGAAAAAGGTTATCTATTTCGAGTTTGTAATATATTTAAGGATAAAAATACAGCATCATAATACATAGACTTAGTGGAAAGAGCCAAAACCAAAAAAAGGGGATTAAAAACGATGGTCGTGCGTGCGTGCGTTTATGAAAGATGCGCTGCAATGAGCTCATCTCATGATGCAATCCTTTACAACATGTACATATATGTGTTTTTATCTAGACGCATATACGTTATATCAATAGAAACTATTTACATTAATGTGCACATGGACGTTCTTTTGAAGACTAAAAGAGAATTAGACAAGTCGTTCGATATGTTATTCAAAGCGTTGCTAAATATATGATTCTTTTTAGTCTAGGATATTCGTCTAAAAAAAGAGATTACAATGTTCTTATAGTTCTGCATATTATATTTGTAATAACAATAGAATGTCTTCATTATGTGACGAACATAGAAACAGCAACACTTTGTTTGTATTGTTTCATCTCATATACCTTACAAGTCAACATGTTTATTGAAAGTGTAAATATAAATTTTTCTAAAGAACGGTATAAGGTCACTTTAGCTATTTAAAAGATCACCTTGACATACAGAATTCAGATAAGTTAACAACAAAACAAAAATAAAAACTCAATGCTTAGAGTTAGAAGTAACAATGCAAACTATTCCATCTATGTACGTTTAAATTTTAAATAAGCATATAAGTATAACTATCAGGCGATAGATATACACACATACCTCTATCATGAAGTCATGTTGAGATTTTTTTTTCTGAAAAAAAGATGTTAGGATAATATATATAGAGAAAAAATATTTTGCTTAGAGTCGTCTCGTATAATCGTTTTTTTAAAAAAAAAATTGGGAACGAGTCGTCTCATAATCTAAGAATGTAAAATTTAGATTATACTGACCAGCTATCATGGCTTGGTTTTGATAAGTAAGAGATAGCGTATTTAATATTGCACTAGACACTAAATTTCGATTATTAAATATGGAAGATGACAACATTATATATACTTAGTTTTTTTTGGTCAGAATGACTACATGATATTTATAATTTTAATTTCATATATAGTTGTAAATATGGAGAGGATGAGAAATCGTCAAAGGGATCTATCCGAAAGTCAAGAGCCTCTTCGTCAATATTTTGATTAATTTTCTACATAGTTTGGTGGAAAGAATAATGGACTTCCACTAATCATGAAAACTCATTACAAAATCTGTTTGGCTTAATCATAAAATAAATACCTGATATTTGATACACACACACACATACTTTACATCATTCTGACAATATGATCGAGTGTAGCAGCTAACATATTTTATTTATATTAATATGAACATCGGGTTGTCAGTTAGCTATACATTTCCACTTTATGATTATATACCCAAATCAGACTATAGGATCAGGAATTATGCCTATAACTATATTGAAAACAAACCAGATAAGATATATGAAATTATAAAATAACACAAAGAATGTAATTCTAAAATCCAGACTGTTCTTTTTTCGTCCGTTCATAGCTTTCCAGTAAGCTAATGATTAAAGGGAAGGTTAAGTACATGTTAGCATGTGAGAATAGGGAATAAGTTCCATTATTCAATTAAAAACAGTATACGTATGCATTTATATTAATAGGGATTGAAACACTATATATTAATTTCATCGTCAATAGAAATTATCAGTAGATGTGTCACAATCACAAGAAACCAATATACGAGCAGAGGAAGAGAAAAAGTGACCAAACTTCTTAAACAACTGTAATTTGACATGATCTGCATCTTAATATGTATACTATATTTTGTTGTTATTTAAGGAATATTAACATAGATATTTCCTTAATCACCTAAATTTTTTTGAACAGATAAACATCAAAGTATTCAATATATTCTAATAACAGATGTAACATTCAATTTTTAACAATATAAGTGTAATACTAATAAGTAATAATTTGTTTTGGTTAAAGAGATTCTTAAATCTAGAGTTAAATATTAACAGAAATCAGTTAGACTAGCTAATAGTAGCTTGAGTATTTAAGATATAGTGCAGATAATACAGAATTAAAGTTTAAAATATATCACATAACGATCAAATACGCAAGAAGAACGTCGCTATAATTAAAAAGAAGTATTCTCTAATTATATATAATAGAGAAGAAAAGTTGTGGAGGAGCTATAATGTTAAAACCTGGCAAATTAGACAGCGAAGACATACTCAAGTGCTGCCTTGTCACACTCTCTCTCTCTCTCTCTCTTCTTCTTCTTCTCCTTCATAGTTCTTACAAAACCCTCCAATCCCAATTCTAACATCCCCAAACAATCTTGTTCCATCTCTCTCTGCCTTTCTTTTCTCTCTCTCTCTTCGTATGTGTAGGGTCGGAGACAAATACGATACCGTTTTTAAGGGTTGCAATTTGCAACCTTTTGATTGGTTTATCTTTTCTTTACCCAACCAAAAACAACATTTGATGATATAAAGAAGCCAACGTTGTCCATACCAAATCTCTTTTTTTTTTCCCCTTTCCCTTCATTGCTCATTTTCTAGTCAGACCCAAATTTTCCATAATATTTTTTTTATTCAATTTTTATTTGTATTTGGGCGTATGATCTACATTACCATCGGTAATCAAACGCCATAATTTGGTAATTAATTAAAATAAATGTCTCAAACGAGCTATTACCGATCACCGTTCGGAGACACGACTTACACCAAAGTGTTTGTTGGAGGATTAGCATGGGAAACTCCCACCGATGAAATGCGTCGTTACTTTGATCAGTTCGGAGAAATTCTTGAAGCCGTCATCATCACCGATAAAAACACCGGAAAATCTAAAGGCTACGGATTCGTAAGTTCTATAATTTTCTCAAATCATCACACACTTTTTTCTATCTCTTTTGTTTTTTTTTCTTTGTTTTTGTTGATGGGTTTTTCCGACCGTTGATTATTTGGTTAGGTGACGTTTCGAGAGGCGGAATCAGCGACTAAAGCCGTCGCTGATCCAAATCCGGTGATCGACGGAAGAAAAGCCAATTGTAATATTGCTTCTTTTGGACGGCCTCGACCATCTCCACCTCGAGGTTTTGTTTATTAAACTTAAAAACTAAATCCGTTAAATCTATCTTTTTGTTCACTCCGAGGGATTATTACTTTATTTGATGAGTTTCGTTTTCATCATCTTTGATATATTAATATAGTTTGGTACGTTGTCAAGAGAATAGTTTTCTCTTTGTTGTTGTTGTTGTTGTTGTCTTTTATCGTATAACGTTAGCGAGATTAGCTGTAATCGTTGGAATTAGAATAAGTACATTGTTCAATAATGTAATTATGTGCCGATGTGCGTAGAGTAATGTACAACGTAAATGTGACCAATCACATCCAATTTTGAGGATATAAATTTTTTAAAAATTTACTCTTAAAATATTTAGAAATAGCTATCATAGAATTGCTAATTTAAGTACCGATGTTAATTCCTTAATAGATTTTTTGTTTGTTTTTTGTTTGTTTGTTCCTAATGGTGTTCTTTACTCTTTCATTATAGGTCGAGGACAAACAGGAAGTCCGAGTCAGTACCAAAGTGGAGGACCATCAGCCTATACGGGAATGGCTGCACCGCAGCTCCCGGTGGCAGCAGCTGCCCACCAGCTCATGTATCCATCCTACGGGTGAGTTATTATTATTATTATTATTTTCTTATATAACAGGCTTCAATTATTCAAAACCTCATATATTTAGTTTAGGAGAGAAATGTTTAATTTGCGTAGATAAGGAGATGGTCCATTGCGATAGAAATATGGTAGGAGACAATTTAATGTGTCTATCGAACCACTTGTTGTCAGGCTGTAAATATCATAACATAAATATATATGTAGAGAAAAAGCCTGCAGTGTACGCATAATTGATCATCTTCAAAATGATATATAGTCTGATTGGAAGTTGAGAAACCCTTATCGTACTAGTTAATGAAAGAAAATGCAAATTAGAAGGTGGTTTTCTATTATAATATGTTTAGATTATAATGATAAACAAGTAGAATTTTATTTTTTGGCTCAGGAAAACTGATCACTTTTCTAAATTTTGTTATATATAGAATCATTGAATTCTTCGTTTGATTTACAGGTACACCTATAACCCTGATCAATTCGGGTACCACCAAGTCAGTTTCTCTTTCTCTCCCCAAAATTCGACACACAACATACACACATACCCAGCATGAACATAAAGCAAAATCGAATTTAATCATGAAATGCAAGATACGAAATCAATAATGGGGATTTTTACGTACAACGTATCCTGCACATGTCGACCACTTACATAATGCATGAAAAACATTAGCACATGCATGTTTGTTGTAAACATATAGACATCGATTATGATGGCGATGATGATGCTCATATATATACATTTTACAGGCACTGTACAACACACAGTTGCAACAAGCACAGTACTATCAACAGCAGCAACAGCTATATGGAGGAGGAGCAACATCACCATCATCATCATCAACAACCATCATGCCTTCTCCTTACTACTACGGTTATTCTCTTCAAGCTCCTAGAGTGCCATATCAACACCATCATCATCATCTTCCTCAACCATATAACCCCCAACAACATCACCATCAACGGTTTACTTCTCCTTCTTTCGTCGTATACCCATCCAATTCCTCTTTTGCACCTCCTCTCCAAGGACTACCCTCGTCTTCCACAGGTACGTACTTACTTACCTTCTCTTAACTTCTTCCTTTTTTCTATTAGTTAGGAAGCCTACATTTAAAATAATTAAGATGTGATTAAAGTAAGATAGATAAGTGACATGAATAGAGATATCCATGGCCAATTAGCTTTAAACTGAAATAATGAACTTAAAATATTATCAAAATCTTCTATTGCTCCATAAAAAAAAACAAAGTGACCTATTTGTTAAAGGAAAATCTATAAGACTTAATGGTTATTATATAGGTTGTTACGACGACAAAAAAAACAAATATAGGTTGTTACATTTTTTATATAAAATATATATTCTTTTTTTTTTTCATTTATAAAATATATATTCCGCTCTTATTGAACGACACCGTTTCTCATTATGCGCATTATATTGATCATTCATGCACGTAAATTGATCGATCCTCAAAGTTGTCTCAAACTTCACAAAAAAACAAATTTATTATGCCATTCTTAAGTAAAAAAAGGGATTTGGGTTTCGACCAAATATGTGAAGAAATGAAAAAGAAAAAGAGAGTGAATGATTGGAGAGAACAGTGAATAAAGGGATGCATGTGGAATGAGCTGTCTATTTTCACTACATTGGTATATGTGTCTCTTCTCCATCATCTGTCAATTTGGTCGCCATGCCAGTGAAGCCACCATTCACTGACAACATATCTACACACATATTTATGTTTTGGACATTGTGTGTGTGTGTGTATGTGCCTAAAACCAGCAAAGCTCATTGCAATTGGTTTCTATCACTTTTTTCAATGATAACGATCAATTTTTAAGATAAATCAGATAAACTTTCTCTCATAGTATTCAGATAAATCAGTCCAAATTGCATTTATTATCTAATTTTAATCAGCAATTTATAATTTTCTTATGGTCTTTTTTAACTCCAGAATCTGAAGCACCGCAACAAGTATCAGCAGAAGGGGAAGCAACGACTACAGCACCTGAAATTACAACCAGCAACAACAAAGAACCAATTTCTTCTTGATCTCTCGGCATTTCCCAATTTGTACAATCTTCACATTTTTACCTCTCCCTTTCTTTCTCTTCACTCTCTCTTGGGAGAGAATTAAAAAGACACAGCTAATTCATTTATTTATCAACCAGAGCTATGACTTGAGCCACAAGAAGACGACTCAAGACTGTCAAACTTTAAGACGGCTCTATCCCTTTATAATACTCTTGTCATAGTATTTCCCATTTTTTCCTGACAGAATCTCTATAATATAAAATCGAGTTCTTCATATTCTTCTTATTCATTAATTATATATTTCTAATAATTTCAACTTTCTGCTATATATGATCCTGCTCTCTCCTATATCTTTTTACTCCTTTTTATCCTCTCAGTTTCTTGGGAGTTTCGATATAGGTTATTAAATAGCCCAGGTGAGAAAATTATCACTGAGATTTAAAGCCAGCTTAAATACTGCGACATTCTCCATGTATAATCAGGCAGATAATAATATTGGCAAATTGATGTTAGCAAACAAATGGATCGTTTATAATGGGCTTTTCTTATTTCAACAAAGCCTTTGGATACTTAAAGCCCAGTTTAGGTCGATCTAATCGCGACCGAGAAGGACTTTACTAACCACCGTCTCAAAATTGACGTACGACGAACCAGACGGTGGCGCCGAAGCTTCTTCCGCCATGCGCCGCCACTCCATCACCTTCTCTCTAATCTTATTTCCTTTCTCTCCGTCCATCAGCTCACAGACCACCGCCTTCACTTTCTCTCTCTCTACTTCGCCGCCGATCTCCATCCCCATCCCCCATTCCTCGCAACAGAACTTTCGATTCGTTAATTGATCGGCGAAGACGGGCCAACAAATCATCGGAACACCGGCGAAAATACTCTCCAGTATCGAATTCCATCCGCAGTGAGTCAAAAATCCTCCGATAGCCGGATGCGAGAGTATCTTCTCCTGAGGACACCAGCCTGTGATCAGCATTCCGCGATTCGCCGTCTCCGATAGAAATTCAGCCGGAAGAGACGACGCATCTCCGTCGAACAAACCGGATCGTACCACCCATAGAAACTCTTTCCCGCTTCCCGCTAAACCCCAAGCGAACTCTAAAAGCTGTTCTCGCGTCAAAACCGCTAGACTTCCGAAGTTGACGTAAAGGACGGTGTCCTTACCCTTGGTATCGAGCCAATCCAGAGATTCCGTTTCTCCTTCCCATAGATTCAATCCCAGCTTTCCGATTTCGCTGTCTCGATCAATTTCTCGGTTCTCGAGAACCGGGAGCGGTCCAATCGGATATATGTGGGGGAGAAGCAGTGATCGCAAAGATAAGAGGACGTTATGCTCGAGGTTTTCGAAAGTGTTGATGATGATCGCAGAAGCGCATTTGGATCTTCCGGTTACATGTAAGATGAAATTAAGCATCAGATCTTGAGGATCCGTCATGGAGACGAAGTCTGGAAAGTCCTTGAGCTGAATGGTCTTCATCGACGGTATCCAATCTATCTCCGTCTCTAGATGCTTCTTTAAGTTACTCTCATCTGGTGGGGATTTTTGCAATTTGTGTTTAGTGAGTAATATTCAGAAGAAGAAGCAGATGATGAAATCAATCGATTGATGCATACCTTTGAGAGGAATTATCCCCTTCTCGATGAGTTTATGGTAATGGAGATACAAGATTAAGGCAGTAGCACTGTTCGTCCAGAGAAAAACCACCGGAATCTGAAACTCCTCCGCCGCGTCAATTGTAAAACTCGTGGAAGCGTCGGAGACGATACAGCTAACCGGCGGTATATCAGAACCGGAGTTTAACCGGAAGAGAAGCTCTTTGAATGGGGATAAACAGTTGTTAATGGTTGAGTCTATAAGCTTGAGCATGTCTTGCTTAGCGTCGACGTCGGTCCAAGGAAGACCATCGGGAATAGTCTCGAAGCGAAACGATGGGAGACCGTCGAGAGCGTGAGGGCCACGTGACCGGAGGATACGGCGGTGGTTGTAGTCGGTGTTGACGAAGGTGACGTGGAAGCCTCTGGCGTGGAGAAGCTTGGCCACTTGCAGCATTGGGTTGATGTGGCCTTGTGCTGGATAAGGTATGCAAATTGCGTGTCGTTTCTGTGAGCTAGAAACGGCATGTGGTTCCATTTTTTTTTTTTGTTCTGTTTAGCTTGTTTGTACTTGTGAGGAAGAAACAATAAGAAAGTGATGATGATGGACTGTGCGAAGGTGGCTGTATGTTATATAAGAAAACAGAAAGAGAGGTGATGATAGAGAGTGAGTCGTATAGTATTTTTTCAGAGTTATAGTACAAAAAAACTACTTTTCTGTACATAAATTTTTTCCATAAGCAACTGTAACTTTTCTTTTTCCATTTTTGAGTGGCTGAGAATCTGTAACTCCAATAGAAAGCTTGTACAGATGGCAGATCATACAGGGAGGATTGTAACCAGCTTGGTGTCTTTTACAACGTCATTGCACATACATATTAGGCTATAAATTCTAGATGTAAATTTGAGATTTTTCCATGTAGACCCGAAGAGATCAATCATTTGGAAAATAGCACGAGAAATGAATTGAATTGAAGGAATAAGACACGAGAGTATTTCACCAAAACAAAAAAAAAGAAAAAAGACACGAAAGAAATGCGTTCAATTAAAGGAATATAATTATACTTAGGACATATACAATTATACATATTGGGGTTTACCGAGTTTTGCGTTGTTGTGTGTTTTATTCTTCCGGGAGGAAAAACCGCGTTGCAGCGTTTATCCTTTACAAAAAGGATCAGCGTAAGCTAAACGCGTTGTCCCAATTTTTATCCGATTCGATCATTAAAACGACGCCGTTTGCAAAATTTCGGTATCATAAACGCGTCCCAACGTGCGAAAGGCATTTACCATCGGTAATCCCGCGCACTCGGTGACCATACGAGACTCGGATCATCACGCGCCACCGCATCGAGTTGTATGAGAAAGCCGAGAATTCGAATTCCAGGAAGAAAAGAAGAATCAGATCCCAGAGAGATTTGAAACTCGTCGATGCAGCAAATGGAGGATTCAGGTGGTGCAGCGACGCCGTTTGGACAGAGAGATCGCCGACCGGAAGCTCTCGGTAGTCTCAGTGTCCTCCCAGATGAGACAATCTGTGTTCTTCTCGAATACCTTGCTCCCCGAGATATCGCTCACCTCGCCTGCGTCAGCAGGTTTCCTAAATTCTGTCTCTGGACTTGACTCTTTGATCGATTTCATATCAGAATTACACTCTTAACTAGATGAATTATCTGCTCGTTGGATATGGATTTCAATTTTTTCAGCAAGTCAGGCTTTTGTGCCTCAATACGTTATTGCGTTGGGTACTTGTGCGAGTAATTTTGATTTCATGACATTTCATCTTTATTATGATCTGTTCAAACACTACTTGTAATGTTGAGAAGACGCAAATTTTTGATAATCATATATATATTTGTACTGCAGTGTCATGTATATATTATGTAACGAAGAGCCACTATGGATGAGCCTTTGTCTCAGAAGAGCAAAGGGTCCACTTGAGTACAAAGGTTCCTGGAAAAAAACGACATTGCATCTGTAAGTACTTTTCAAACTATCTCTAAGATATGTGACTTTTGGCTAATCTTGGAGTTATCAGGCTCCTCCTCGAAGTTGCCTATACCCTGCTTATCTAAAATTTTAGTGACCGATTGGTTTCTGCTGTACAGAGAAGGAGTTACTCAGGAAAATGAGGATGCATACAGAAAACCTTTGCATTTTGATGGTATAATATTGATGGATAACTTAATCGATTTTTCACTGATGTTTTTTTTTCTTCCATTCTCTTACGATATGATCATGTTGGTTCTATCTTTTGTTCTCACGGACTCTGCTGTTGTGCAGGATTCAATTCGTTGTACTTGTATAAACGATTCTATAGGTGTAACACGTCTCTTGACGGCTTCTCTTTTGATGACGGGAATGTGGAACGTAGGAGAGAAATTTCCTTGGATGAGTTTTCCAAGGAATACGATGCCAAGAAACCTGTATGTTCCAATCATTTCATTTGCTGATCTAATTCTTTTGTCTTTCATATGTGCAAGGTTGTGTCTTCGTGTGCAAATAACAGAAGATTGTACTCTGTTACACAATATCAGGCATGAGAGTCTTTGTAATGTTGTTCCTATCTATGGTTTAGGTCTTGCTCTCTGGCCTCGCTGATTCTTGGCCAGCCAGTAATACGTGGACAATCGACCAACTATCAGAGAAATATGGGGAAGTCGCATTTAGAATATCTCAAAGGAGTCCCAACAAAATTTCTATGAAGTTCAAGGACTACATCTCGTATATGAAACTCCAGCGGGATGAAGATCCTCTATACGTTTTCGATGACAGAGTACGGAAATTGTTGTGCAATTTTTTATAAAACTTTCTTCGTATCGGTTGATATAGTTGCAGAAGAACCAGAATTTTGTAGTGAAAATAAGGATTCCACATTTCATGTAGTTTGGAGATGCTGCTCCTGAGTTATTGAAAGACTATAGTGTGCCTCACTTGTTTCAAGAAGATTGGTTTGAAATCTTAGACAAAGAAAACCGTCCGCCATACAGATGGCTTATAGTTGGTCCGGAGAGGTCTGGTGCATCTTGGCATGTCGATCCAGCTCTTACCAGCGCCTGGAACACCCTGCTTTGCGGTCGGAAAAGGTAGACATCTTTTTTGGCTTGAATAAGTATTTTATTTTCTAATTGTTAGCAGACTTGTTCGTAACATATATTCTACCTCACATACAATTTAAGACCACCATATAGAACTGAACAGGGGACAGTTCAAGCTTTTTTTTGTTTTTAACTTAAGTCAAATTAAGTATTCATAATTTCAACTTATAAGGATAATAGCCATCATAATTGTCACTTATCAGGTCTCATAGGGCTAGAAAACTGTGATCAAGCACGTAGTCTCCTTGATCTCACTTTAGTAGACATTATACACACAGTATATATGTATTTAGATCAGGTTATGTGATATTTTGAGGATGACGTCATTGTTCTTAAAATAGGTGGGCGTTGTATCCCCCTGGAAAAGTGCCCCTGGGTGTTACAGTCCATGTAAATGAAGATGATGGTGATGTCAGCATCGACACCCCCTCATCTCTGCAGGTATACTGCTGAACTATTCGAGCATTGACATTTCCATTATTCTTTACTGTATCCTGTTGATAGTTTTCGATCCATGTACAGTGGTGGTTAGACTATTATCCTCTCCTCGCCGACGAAGACAAACCGATTGAGTGCACACTACTACCTGGTGAAACGATTTATGTTCCAAGTGGTTGGTGGCACTGTATCCTTAATCTTGAACCAACAGTGGCCGTTACCCAGAATTTTGTGAACAAAGAAAACTTTGGGTTCGTGTGTTTGGATATGGCGCCTGGTTACCAACACAAAGGGGTTTGTCGTGCCGGGCTTCTTGCTCTTGACGATGGAAATTCTGAAGAGATGGAAGAAGAAACACACGATGAGGACGAAAATACTTTGAGCTATTCAGACCTTACCAGGAAAGAGAAGAGGGTACGGATGATTGGAGGGGGAGAGACTGAAAACCGCGAAGAGGATGCTAATGGAGTATCAAAAAGATACAATATGTGGAAGAATGGATTCTCTTACGATATTGATTTCCTGGCGACGTTTCTTGATAAAGAAAGAGACCATTACAACTTCCCATGGTCTATGGGGAACTCTGTAGGTCAACGAGAAATGAGGGGCTGGCTATCTAAGCTTTGGGTTCTGAAGCCTGAGATGAGAAAGCTGATATGGAAGGTAATTCCTACTATTCAAATTCTTTGTGCTTTATAGAATTTGTAGCTTTATAGAATGTCTCTCCATCATCAAATTCTTTGTGCTTTGTTTTTTCTTCTTTAGGGAGCATGCATTGCTTTAAATGCTGAGAAATGGTTGCGATGCCTAGAGGAAGTATGTACTTTCCACAACTTGCCGTCGGTAACCGAAGATGAAAAGCTTCCAGTTGGAACTGGCAGCAATCCTGTGAGTTGACTGTCTCTCGTAGAAAACCTTCGTACAAAAGTTCCTCAATTTTCCGAATTATTTCACCTATTTGTTCTTACTTCTCTTATTTTTTTCTGTTAGGTTTATCTGTTTTCTGACTATGCGGTAAAACTGTTTGTCGAAGGAGGGCTGGAACAATCTATGTACGGTCTTGGAACTGAGGCAAGTAATCCGTGTACAACAATTTTGGCACCCTTTGAGCATCTGTTACGATTGTAACTCGTTTTCTTTTGTGCAGCTCGAGTTTTATGACATTCTTGGCCGCGCTGGTTCTCCTCTGAAAAGCCATATTCCTGATGTTCTGGCAAGTGGGATTCTTTACTTCGAAAAAGGATCTTACAAAGTTGTCCCTTGGGATGGCAAGAAAATCCCAGAGATTCTCACTAGCTCCAATCTCGCTTTTGATGCATCAATGTTGAAGAGCGACTTCCCATTTGGTATTTGGAACAAAACGCTACTTGAACATAGAAACCAGGGGAAGCCAGCACCCGACTCTTTTGGTTCACTGAGTTCACATGTTTGGCCGTATATTATAACACAAAGATGCAAAGGGAAGATATTTGCCCAACTGTGAGTGCTCTTTTCCTCATATTCATCTTTGCGAGACTCATATTTAAAACCAAAAATGCATTATCTTTAACTTGAAGCTGTTGTTGCAGAAGAGATGACCTGACGTGGAGCGACGCTCAGAACTTGGCTTCCTTTCTAGGACAACAACTACGCAACCTTCATCTACTGCCATATCCACCAGTCACACGTCCTGAATTATTGAATGAAAATGATGTTCATGAGGAGTTGAAGATTCCACCAGAATGGAAAGTGTTTGTCGATGCTTTGTGCCAAAAGAAAAAGGACGTCACTAGCCGTCTGGAAAACTGGTACGCTTCGTGAAGTTATTTTTTCGCATATCTACTCTGTTTTCATTTGCCCTAAAAAAAGCTCACTGTTGGTGATTGTTTGATTTAAAACCTTTCAGGGGAAATCCGATTCCTCGGGCTCTGATGAACACAATAGACGAATACATTCCTGATGATTTTTTTGTAGATTTGCTCCATGTTTTCAAGGTTGCTTCTCTTATCTTTCTATTCTGTCCTTAAAAATCAGCCAAAGTTTAGAGAAATGAGTTAATTTCTGTCTGGGATCATAGGACACGGATGTTGGGGACGAAATGAAATCCTGCACCTGGATACACTCAGACGTGATGGACGACAACATTCACATGGAACCATACGCAGATGATGATTCGGTCAGTGGTCAACACAATTCATGGCGTCCCAGTCATATTCTTGACTTCAGCGATTTATCGATAGGTGCGTTTTAATGAATGATTTCTAAAATCTCTTGGGAGAGTTGTCTGAAAGAGTGAGAAAATTGCAGGAGATCCCATCTACGACTTGATACCAATATACTTGGACGTCATTAGGGGAGACGCTGATCTTTTCAAGAAGCTTCTTGAAAGTTACGGGCTTCCGTTAAACAGAAGTAAGTCGTCGGCAGAGAATGGAACAACAACAAAAACAGCAGACAGTACGAGGAAGAAAGTACTTTGTCCTTCTTACCGTACAATGTAAGTAATAAGACTGTCTTACACATAATAGAATAGCCTTGAATTTTTTCTTGTGTTGTGTGTTTTTATAACTGTGGTTTGGCTTCAGGTGTTACTGTATATTACATGAAGAGAATGTGTTGGGTGCAATGTTCAGTATTTGGGACGAACTTCGGACAGCCGAATCATGGGAACAGATTGAGCAAACTGTTTGGGGTCTACTTAACTCTTACTGATTCTTTCCGACTGATATTTACCTTCAAAATCTCTTTTTTAATTTGTGTTTGTTGTATTGGCAATTTGCAGAAAATATAAGTTTTTTTCCTGATAGATATAATTTTTATAATTGTTTTTTTCTTTTGCGACTCAGATAAGGCTGTTTATCTTGATAGAGAACAGACGTTTTACATATGATTATTTTACATTATTACGTGACTAAAATTATAAGTATTCATATATGTTTGTTTCTGTTATATATATACGTATCATGCATGTATAAAAAATGTCCAATATATAATACTTTTAACATAAAGCACACTAATTTATTAATCAGTGTATGCGTTTAAAATTTATATAGAAAAAAAAATGAAAGATCGAAAGAACATTATAATCACGTTTGTGTGTTAATGCAAATGAAAAAAATGGTCACAAAGAGCAAACGAAATCACCAGTGTCGATATCGTCATAATCTGAATCCAAGTCGTCAAGATCCATACTACTTCCGATTGCACCACTACTGCTCCCACCGGAGCCACCAGCACCGGAGAGTCCAGAAGGTCCGGTTAACGATTTCCGAGCTTCCTCAATGACACAAACTATCTCTTCCTCTGTCTGAGACGGATCGTTCATCCTCAATGATCCTTCCGACATCTCCACCGGCAAGTTCTTGAGAAACCAAGAATGATTCTTTATCTCCTCCATCGTTATTCTCTGCTCTCACACAATCAAGGCTAATTAGCCTTAACTTTGGAATTTAAAAGAGAAAAGAAAAAAAACAGTTGTAAACGTACCTTTTCAGGGTTAGCGACGAAAATACGAGAGAGAAGATGTGTGCATTCATCTGAAACTCGGACATAATCAGGAATAGAATAGTGAGATCGCAGAATACGAGCGATGGTTTTGCGGAAATCTTTAGGATCAGAAGGATCTTCAAAAGGATAAGCACCAACAAGCATTACATACAAAGTGACTCCACAAGACCAAACATCTGCGATTTTGCCGTCATATTCTCTTTTCGAGAGCACCTCTGGTGCGATGTAAGCTGGTGTTCCCACTGTTGTCTTTGGCTGCGAATGAAGAACTCCTGATTTCGAGTATCCGAAATCACATATCTTTACTCGTGGCGCTGCACTTCCATCTAACAGCGTGTTCTCTAGCTTTAAATCTCTATGGCATATTTGCTTATTTCAATTATTTAAAAAAAACCAAAAAAAAAAAGAAGCACTTTTTAATTTCCATTGCAAACAAAAACAGAGCAAAATGTGAAAATAAACAAGTTTTTGTTGATTTAGGTGGAATTTGTATTCTTACAAGACTATGACAGTAACTAACTCCTGATATCAGCTGCTGAAAGAAAAACCTTGCCTGAAACCAAATTTATACAACAGAATTTCTTCTTTAGCTTTTCTATAAAAAAAAATAAAAAAGTGTTTATTTAGATAATGATTAAAAAATAAAAGAGACCTCGTCTTCGCTGAATCTTCCGGCACTGCAGATTCTCCCGAAGAGTTCTCCTCCGGCTGCGTATTCCATTACTATCGCCAAATGTGTCGCCGTCAATAAAACCTAATTATTTAATTTTTTTCTCACAAAATCATCATTTTTAATGTAACTTAATTAACAGAAAAAAAATACATTGTTGTATACCTCCTTGAATCTTATTATATTGGGATGGTTGAGTGACCTGTGGTTCATGATTTCTCTTTGTACATGTTCATCAATCTTCATAACACCCACAAATAAACATATTAAGAAGAAAAAACAAACAAAATTAATAGAAAAAATTATTTTTCTGTAACTAGCTCAGAGATAGAGTGGGATGAGAGAATAAAAGAGTGAGAGCTGTGAGACCTTTTGGCCTCTCTCGATAAACTTAACAGCGAAAAGCTCTTTCGACAATTTGTCGCGAACAAGTTTTGCTACTCCGAAATTACCAGACCCAATATCCTTCACTATCTCATACCTCTCCATATTCTGCAACACAAAACAGAGCTTCGATGTATGCTCTGTTCTCTCACGATTAAATAAAGCAACAGATTGTCACTTTTTTATAGATAGAAGCCAAGACGAAGAAATCAAATACACACGTGTGTCGGTGTGTGTGTTTGTCTGTATGTAAGAGAATCTGAGAGAAGTAAGAGGAATCGAGACAAAACTCCTCTGTTCTTGTTCAGAAGACAGAAGAACCAGCTAAATTTATTGAAGAGAGAGGGAGATCTTGAGAGGTAACTTAAACAAGAAGGAACAAACCTTTGGATGTTATTTCACCAGAATTTTGGGAAATGATGTAATAATAATACAAAGCGATTAAGATCGATCGCACATTTTCGGATTTTGATCTTCTTGGGAACCTGCTTTGCTTTTGGAGCAAGAGTCACTGCTTTTGACTTCGTTTGTATGTTACTGTGAGCAAGGATCGATGGAGAAAATGACACGTGTCAAATGTGCTGGGGTTTTTGAATTGCCAACTAGTACTACTGTATTTTGTTTTTCTAAAAGATCTTCTATAAGTATATTTTATTTTTGTTGGCCAAAAAAGTCACAAACCATACAAAAATAGGGGAAAACCTAAAAAAAAAACAAACTATGAGAGACATTTAAACAAACAAAAAAATCACAAACCATAACAAATTACACATTGTTTTGTTGACTTTTGGCTAATTATACATTTCCATTGTAGACGATTATATATTAAACTTTGAAAGATGTAGAAATTGCATGTTGTTTAATAGATGCAGAGAAAAAAAGACTTGTCTACTTTAGTCTAGTAACAAAATCAATGGTTGTGTTCTTTTATGGCAATTAATTATGTTTTTTTATAAGAGAATTAACTATTGTTTTTTTTTCAGTTATTATGGAGTAGTATTTGAGTAGTGGTTTACATACATATAAGAAAACGGAAAGAAAATTGTTCTATAAAAAGGGAGGGAGGGAGAACTGGGAAGAATGTACATTTTGCTCGAAAAACTTCTCTTTCGTTTAATTGTGTTCAACCTATAAGATATCGTATTGTAAGATTATACTTAATCCAAAAAAACATTACTATAAGTTTTTTTTTTTGTTATCAGCAAAACTTCTGTCGTTAGTTATCAATATGATAACGAGATAGACTCATGGATCACATCAAGTCGACATTCCCTAAAACTACTGGCATTGAGAGCTTTGGAGATATTAGAGACGGACCCCGAAACTTGTGGGTATGGATTGTTTGGTCCTATTGAAAGTAACAATTTTCTAATTGTATATTTTAACTCTCCTAATTAAAAAGACTTTATTCTGAATTTGGACCTCGCTTTCTCATTGGTCGGTGGGGGACTGTCTGTAACTATATGCTGTGGTTATTATATAGTTCATCGAACTAAAATTTCTTTCCAAACTGAATCCATAAAAAAAATTTTAACGAAAGCAAAACAAATCAAGGAAACATCATTTGTTAGTTGTTTGCTCTCAAAAGAGTTGCCGTTTCATTGTTTTTTTCTACTTTCTAAACTCAAATTCATGCCTGAAAACTGAAGTATATTAAATTTTTTTAACTAAACCAACTACACACACCACCATTAGAAAAAGGTACATCTGTGCATCAATCCATAGTAAAATTAAGATATATACCTCAGCTAAAAAAAAAAAACAAAAGCAAAATTGCAGGAAATCTAGGGTATATTTTGTATGTTTTTTGGGAAACAATATACATTATTTTTTTATATGGTTCCTTCTACTCACATTTTATGGTCTGAATTTTTTTAAGTTTTGATGTTTGGTTTAGAAAACATTATGGATTCTTTTGTAAAATTACTAATAACAATAATATGTAATATATATATATATATTAATTGTAATTGTAATATTTACATGAGATAACAGAACAAGTGTTTCACAACTGGCCATCAAAAGAGAAGAAACAAGTTCATTTGCGCAAGTAATATAATTAACAACTCCCATTAACTATTTCATATTATAACAAAAGTTCAACTGAACTCTACAAACAACATGATGTTTGTTTTATTTAACTTAAGCATTAATACGCGAAACTAGTTGGTCGCAATGCAAACGCGCCTTATCTCTCCATTGATACCGGTTTTAACCCCGATGGTGCCCATCTTAATCATTGCCTGAGCGAAATCTGCAGCAAAGTCCGACTTCAAGCTATCGTTTTCCACCAAGTAGGAGTCAATGATTGCTCTCGTAGTATTGTCACGATATAACACTGAATCTGAAGCAAGAACTCCTCTCTTGGTTTTAATATTTCGTAGAACGTAGTCGTCCAAGAGGAACTCCCGTCTCAATCCAAAAGAATATTGGAAGCCCGAGAATCAAAAAGTTTTTTGTGCTTTCTAAACTCAAATTCATGGCTGAAAACTGATATATTAAAATTTTGTAACTAAACCAACTACTCAGTACCCACACCACCATTAGAAAATGGTACATCAGTACATCAATCCATAGTAAAGTTAAGATATATATCTCAGGTTAATGTAAAAAAAAGCAAAATTACAAGAAAACTTGAGTAGATTTTTGTATGTTTTTTGGGAAACAATATACATTATTTTTTCTAATGGTTCCTTTTACTCAGATTTTATGTTTTGATTTTTTAGACTTTAATTTTTGATGTTTGGTTTAGAAAACATTATGGATTCTTTTGTAAAATTACTAATAACAATAATATGTAAAATTACAATTAAATATTAGAATATAGATATTTGTTTATACAAAGTCCGAGATGTTCGTAAGAAAACCATTAGTTATTGATAGATGTTAACCACTTAGTGAAGTCCCCTGGTGAACAATTCAACAACTGGAAGCAGAAAAAACTACATATTTCTTGAAGTAATCCTGATCTTGGCTTCCTCAAATCTTGCTCAAGCATGCAAGACAACTCCACGAGGGACTGACTAAGCATCATCATCATTCATCAAGTATCAAAACATCTTCGCATAAGAAGATGCACTTATGAAACTACTATCCGACTATATCTAATAAATTAATCGGGCTGCCAAAAGTACTGATGTCATGCTCCGTCAACAAGACCCATAAAATAATAAAACAACTTAACGAAGAAGTAAGTCATTAAAACAAAACATAATCACGGATAAGGATACGTGTTTGATGAATATAATAAACAACACTATAAAGGAGAAGACAAATCATGTTTGTTAATTATCTCACAAAAGAAAAGTTAGTCCAATAACAAAACTAATTAAGGTGGAAAAAACAAACGAACCAACCAATCCAAACCAAACCACGCGCTATACACAACCTTTGTAATCAGTTTTCACAACCTGACCGATTCAGTTTGGTTTAGTTTAAAACCCAACTTATAAACCAAGAGGCTTATTTATTTAATTAATCAATTAAGTATAAAAATAAATCTTATATATAAACCAAATACACGTTTTTAATCCCCCACACTTTCACTTTTAATTTTCAATATAGTTATTATGAATAAGTTTTAATTTATCATCTCTAACCCCTATTAGATCATATGACGAACTTAAACCGAAATCAAATCCAAATGACCACAAAAAGACGATTGACTTTTGACGATTAAAAAATATTTATTTCGGTAAGAATATACAACAGCATAACTGATATCGAATGTTTTCAAGAATCGTCTATGTAGTATTAATGTCTATAGATTTGAAGAAAGACAATAAATATTCACTAAGAGTTTTAAAATTGCGAAAAATAACCGTTCGAGGAGCCACGAAAATATGAAAGAGATGAGTTGGAGAAGAAAGTTCTTTGGATCCCCTGACATGCTCGCAACACATGTGTCCCTCTGAGCTGTCTCCATTTTTGCTAACCCAACTTGCTTCCATTATTGTATATAATAACCTCCTTTATCAATTTATTTTTGTAGATAACTCTATATTAAAAAAAAAACTATATTTACATTGTCTACAAAAACAAGCCTTTATTTTAACTGCTAGGCCAAATTGTTAAAATTTCCATAGGGTGGGGAAAAAAAGTCATGTACTTATAATATTAGTAAAATTACATTATCATTCATTTGTAAGATATAATCGAAATTTCTCATAGCCATCCTTAAGAAATTCGATGCTACAAGATTCTGTCAAAATAATTTTATTTATTCGAGGTGTAAAAATAATAATAATATAGAATCCAAAGAGGCCTAAAAAAATTTGCCCTTTAAAAAGCAGGACCTCCCGCAAATAGAGCAAACAAATCCAACGGCCCAAATTCAATATTGGTTCCAGAAATCACTCTTTTCCCCTAAAACGCATTCTATCATCGATTTCCCTCATTTAGCCTTTGACCTACACCGATTATCGAGTCGACTCGTCAAGAACCCTTCTCTCAGATCCTTTTCTATCTGTTTTCTTGTTTGGATCGATTTTCTCAAGGAGGAAGAAAATGGCGGTTTCTGCGCGTGAGGAGTTCGTGTACATGGCCAAGCTCGCGGAGCAGGCTGAGAGATACGAGGAGATGGTAGAGTTCATGGAGAAAGTCTCCGCCGCCGTCGATGGCGATGAGCTCACCGTCGAGGAACGAAATCTCCTCTCCGTCGCTTACAAGAACGTGATTGGTGCTCGCCGTGCCTCGTGGCGTATCATCTCATCGATCGAGCAGAAGGAGGAGAGCCGCGGCAACGACGACCACGTCAAGGCGATCCGCGATTACAGGTCTAAGATCGAGACGGAGCTTTCCGGAATCTGCGACGGAATCCTCAAGCTGCTCGATTCCACGCTCATCCCTGCTGCTGCTTCCGGTGACTCAAAGGTCTTCTACCTGAAGATGAAGGGTGATTACCACAGGTACTTGGCTGAGTTCAAGACTGGTCAAGAGAGGAAAGACGCCGCCGAGCACACTCTTTCCGCCTACAAGGCTGCTCAGGTAATCATCGTATCTCCATTCTTTCACGATCCAAATCTCAGATCTAGTTTTGTTTGCGCTCGCTGTGCCTTGAGTACTTGCCGGATTCAGTTTTAGGGATTTGTACCGTCTAGATGAATTGGGGTTTCAAGATGTTGAGCCTTTGTTGATTATTGTGACTGTATGCAGGATATTGCAAATGCAGAGCTCGCTCCAACTCACCCGATCCGTCTGGGTCTGGCGTTGAACTTCTCTGTGTTCTATTACGAGATCCTCAACTCTCCTGATCGTGCCTGCACTCTCGCCAAACAGGTATATATTCGAATCCACCATTAGCTATAATCCATCAAATCATCACCATCCTTTGGATTATTTTGCAAATGCGGATTGGGGAATCAGCACTCGCCTATTTCACTATCTTAGCAACTCATCATATTGATCCACTCAACTTTGCTATGTTATCTTGATTTCTTCATCTCAACACTTTGCAAATACATGAATTTGACTCTCTTTCTTTGGTTGTTGTTTGTTGTTTGTTGTATGTATCATCAAGGCCTTTGACGATGCGATTGCAGAGTTGGACACTCTAGGTGAAGAGTCCTACAAAGACAGCACCTTGATTATGCAGCTTCTCCGTGACAATCTCACTCTCTGGACTTCCGACATGCAGGTACGGGTCCAAATGATCCTCTCTTTTTCTCTTCTCTTGGAATAATAATCTTAAATTTTGGTGGACTAAATTCTGTGTTGGTGGATCATATTAGGATGATGCTCCGGAGGAGATCAAGGAAGCATCAGCTCCAAAGCCGAGTGAGGAACAGCAGTAACAGTCTTTTGAGTGAACTGCTAGTTTTCTAGGCTTTCCAACTTCTCTTCTCTTCGTCTATATGTCACCTTTTCTTAAGTCTCAGATTGTCTGTCGCTTGCCAATTCGCTAACCTTTGGAGCTTTTAAATTCATTCATCATATTTTCTGGCAAGTCGAACCATCAGTCACATTTCATCTCTTTGCTTGATTTTCTTTCTCTTCTTTTTTTGTTTTTTTGTTTTTTTGTTATCGATTTCGATGTCTGCAATCGTACCTTGCTTTGTGTTTTCTCATCAATTTGAAGATCATAAAGGCTATGTCTCTTATCTTACGGCGTAGATCGTTTTCAATTTTAAAACGGGGCTAGTTTATTGGACCGTGTAAAGCGCATTACTTTACCGATGTCTTAAATCAATGATCTTTTTGATTATTCAAAAAGAACTTTCAAAATAACTATATAGGTATACTCACACTCGTTAATGATTTACTTGTTAAAAAATAAAAGAGGAAACGTTCATGATTTCGTCAGTGTTGAAGTTTCAACTGAAAATGAAAGCATCAGAGCAAAAATTCAACCAAAGGAACAGTGAAGTGATTGGTATAGTATTCAATACTACCTTTTAACAACCAACGAATCTATCCAAAAAGAAAATAACTTAAATCCGATTGATTAGAGAGAGAATCAGGAAACAACAACAATTGTATGCAATTTGATCTACAAGGAGATGATCAACAAATTATAACCTCAGACATATAAGAGAGTTGCAAAAGAGTGTATTCCTTTCTTTTTCCTACTCTGTTTGTTTCTAACATGAACAAACATGGAACAAAAGAAAGTAAAAAAAGGATTTAAGTAATTTGGGTTTAAAACAAAAAAAAATCATCCACCACTAATGATGTACAAAAAGAACAAAGGGAATTTTGTCGTGCCGATCAAACGACCACGTTTTCAAATTGACCGACATGGGGTTTCCGTTTTTTTTTTTTTTTTTTTCGGATCAGTGACCTTTGTATGTAGGGCTAGGAAGAGGCACCGTCGTCGGAGATACCGGGAATCCTAATTGACCTGACGTCGGCGATAAGAGTATGCTCGGTGAAAGTAATCCGTATGGTGATTTGGGCGAACTTAGACATCCGAATAATTGAGGCGCCGGAATCGATGTCGGCGCCGCCTGCGAGACTGTTCCCGGAGCCGCGGGATGAGGAGGGCGACTGTTGTTTTGCGGCGGCGGAGCATTTTCCTGTTGTTGTTGAAACCAGCGAGGTGAGACCAAAGGAGCTAACGGCGATAAACCAGAGAACTCCTTCCGATTCGAATCGATTGCGAGCATCGAGTTCTGAAGGTACCGCATGTAGGAGGAGACCGGAGATTCCGCCGCCGCGTGAACAGGAGGAAGCGGTGGGAGAGGAGAAAGAGGCGCCGTTGGTCGAGGGACAAATCCGGCGGTCCAGTTATTATGATGAGCACCTGGAGGGATAAGAGCGTCATTTACCAAATTAGGAGGGCGATTGATAACGTGAGCCAACGGAGGAGGACGGATCCTGTGAAGACGCGAACTCTGTTGAGGCTTAGGGTGGTGTATCGGCTGCTGCGGCGGAGCAGAGATCCGTTCATGCGCAGGCGAGCCGGTGAGTTTCTGAACCACATCTCTGAAATCGTTCTTGTTTATATTGTAAACAGGAGGTTGATGCTGGTGGAGACTCCCCTGATTAATTGGCGGCGGCGGAGGAGGAGGAAACGATTGATGATCAATTTCTCGGTTCACGGAGGCGGAGGAGGAGTTTGCCGTGGGTTTTGATATCTTATGAGATAGCTTATTCAGCTGTCTCAGGTAATGATCTCTGTTCCCTGTATTGTTACCGGTACTACTCGTCGCGGAGGCGGATACGGCGGAGGAATCGTCGGAGGAGTTACAGCTCTTATCCATCATAAACCCCAAAATCGATTTTTCTCCCCTTTGTTTAAGCTGCTTCAATCTCGTTTTTTCTTCTACGGTTTTTTTGTTTTTCTCTGCCAGATTTGGTAGAGAGAGAATGGAGAAGACGAAGGTGTTGAAAATGGCTTTTCCTCTTTTTTGTTTTCCCTAATATTAAAGATATTTGTAAAAAAAAAACAAAATGTTTTGTTTTATAATGGCAGATATATACATGGTTTATATAGGCTATACGACTCTTAATAAGTAGTAGCTTTAATTGGATTTTTCTAGAATAAGATGAAAAGGAAATAATTTGTCTCTATGTATCGGATGGATTCTCCATCGGCCTATGAAGGCGAATTTTTAATATTTAATGCGTTTTGTATGAATGAACATGTACCTCCAATATTCTATTCTGGACCAATTGTAATTGTATATAATTTTGTGAGTTGTAATAATGTCATAACGTAAATATATTTGGGAAATATCACCCACAGTTTTAACTAAAAAAAAGAAGATGTTGTGAGTTGTAAGTTCTCTTCTTTCGAAGTTTTGTTTCTTTGATTTCTTTTTTAGCTAAAGCAAAGGAAAAAAAAAACTGAAGTGAAATGAGAGTATGTAATTTTTACATTCAAAATATCCACTAACTAAAAAAAAGTAGTATTTGTGAAATATATATTCTCGTCAATGGAAACGGTAACTTAAATGACAAAAATTGATAAATGTGCCGTATTTTATTCAACTAGAATAAACGTTTGTCACACATGTATCACAAAACTGCGCCACGCATATTTTTGTTAAAATGCTTCTTGTCAGTTTTTGTTAAAATTTAAAAATTTCAGTTAATCTAGTAATAGTTGTAGCATCTGAGTTTAATCTAGTGTAACTTCAAACAAAAAAACTCTTAAAATAATTCAGTGATACATCAGAGAAAACTTAAAAATTTCTGAAATAATTTACAAAAAGAACTGTAATTCTTTTATATCGGTTTATGGCCAATCGATGAAATAACAATGAGGGAAAAAAAAAGATAAAATAATAATATAATACGAATGTTTGAAAGGTTAACGGGTCGGGTTATTCAACGCCCATTTTGGTCAAAAGCTCCAAAAAGTATTACCGAAAACGACATTCGTACAGCATTTAATCATGGGTTGTTATCTCCTACTTCACACTCCACCGAAATCTCCCATCCATGTCAGCATACGACTTATCTAACGGCTGTGTGATTAGCACGAGACATCACGTGACATTTAGCCATTTTCAATTTTCCCCGTAGTGACACTGTTAATGTCCTGGTTAGTGGTAGTGATTAACATGTACAATTACTAATTAAGATAAAAATTGGTTTCTTTGTTTGATTAGCATGATGTGGAGATGTGTTTGGCCAAATTGTCCTTTGTTGAGAGCATGAATGTTTGAAATATTATTTTTCTCTTTTGTTAAAATCAAATAATTCTTGAACTATTCTGGCATTATAAAGCAGCTTAACTGAAACGTTTTATTCTAAAAATTAGATTTTAATTATATTAAATTGGAAACGTTATATCGTAACATTAAATTTTTCAAGTTTTTGGCGACTAATACCTCTTTTAATATATATTATGCCGAATTTTTTATTTCCGAGGAGTTTGGTATACAAGTATAGAACAACATAATTATCTTTTACAAACTGTTTTTTTTTTGTCTTGATTTTACGAACAGTAGTTGATACAAATTAAATAGTAATACATGGATTATGATATTAGATTGTTTGACCCGATCAATCCGGTGATCATTTTCTTAGACACCCCCTTACCTATGGTATCACATAATCTCAATAGGTATTTAACAGTAAAGAAAATCTTGATGTTTCATTTTATCATTTTATGCAACGACTAACAATTAAAATTCGCAGTATATGGAAGGGATATATATCTAAAAATAGAACGGCTAAGAGTTTGGGTATAATTTTGGTTAAACGGTGAGGAAAATTATAACCGATATATAAATTTGGAATCTTTGATCCATTCAAGTAGAATAGAATATTTCATACTATTATATCTACAATAATACATTTTTCTGTCCTGGTATTGTTAAATACTCCGTTTTTTTCTGTTAATCCATTTGAAATAATTCTTGCGTGCTATAAATGAAGAAACTTAACATTTTTTCTACGTTGAAAAATATGCTTTTATGCATTTTTTTCCTTCCTGGAAACATTTTAGAACAAAAGAAAAGTAATTGGATAAAGGTAACACATAATGTGGGGTTCATGAGCTCATTAGTATATTGAAAGCATCATAGTACAAGTCCCCATGTAAACGTACTCTCTTGGTGCGTTGCCTCAACTTCCTCTCTTTTTTTGTACTCTGTTTGACATCTTTTGCCTTCAAGGACGTTAACGTTGGCGACAGAAAAAAAAAGAGTTGGAGTAGAGAAATGAAGAAGGTTTTTTTTTTATTATATAGATATATCATGAGGAAAGTAATTTATTTGATTAGTTTCCAAGTTTTTTGGTGATGGTTGAGAAGATTCACCGTTTGGGCCAGAAGGGTTATTGAACTTCCTATTGATAGCTTTATTAGCTTAAACGAACAGCGCAAGTCTTGCTTTTAATTTGGGTCATTAGTTGTCTCCGAGTCCTCATACCCAAAAAAATTACCTAAATTGAAGTGTCCTAAAACCCAACTAACAAATGATTATTATTATTGTTTATGCTAACCAAATGATTTATCATCCAAAACATAATATAATTTCATGAACACACATAATCATGGGAAACAACTATAAAAACGATTTCACAATGGATAATTACACTTATAATAAAGAAAAAAAACAAAACGAATGAGGTTATCCACAATAAAGATCTCCAATAAAGATGTTTTCATTAAACTGCAATAGCTTAAACTCTCTAAAAATCGGAATTTATACTTATTGTAAGAAACACTAAAACATTTTTTACCGTATACCAGAATTTTTTTTTTTTTACAAATTACAACAAACATCCTTTTAAGATAATGATTCCTTCTGTTTCCAACATCTTACCTTTAATTAATGAATTTATAGATTTTTATTGTTAATACAATCTCTGTTTTTTATTGATTAAATGGTTATGGTTGTGAATTCTGTTGATTGTGTGCCGTGTGTAATAACGAACATCGGATTTTCGTGTGTATATATTGAATTGAGGAACCGGATTCTTGAGTGACAAGAAACAAGTGTTCTTTGGTGAAACAAGACATAAACCTTAAGAAAACAGAGATGACATCACGTGAGATGGAATCAACTAGCAACCCAAAGGTGAAAAGAAGATTCATACACAATAGATCTTCCTAATCTTAAAGGCAAAGGCAACGATCTCCTCAGGGTCATGGAGAGAGTTAACCACGCTTTCTCTCTGCAAACACCTCTTGGCCGAAGCCATCAGTGTCGGACACTCTGGTTCGATGCTGAAGTTACCGCATTTCTCAGATGCTTCGAACCAGCTGTAATATCCAGTCATGGCAATATCTACGAATCCGAAGTTATCTCCACCAAAGTAAGGTTTGTCTCCAAGCTCAGATTCAAGAACCTTGAGTGCTTTGATATACTCTTTCTTGGCTGTCTCTTGTTCCTCGCCCTTTGTAGACCAGATCTTATCCGCTGGCTCGTACAACTAGTCCGATATCACAGAGTTATAACATAACATCAAAACTATAAGTCTACAAGCAAAAAAAGGCCTAAAATTTACTAAAAACACAACTGGTCCAAAACTAAGTCTCGAGTTTAAGACTTGAGAGATCGTGTGGTTCGGGGAATATAACAGAAAGGTGGTACCTTGGTGTCAATGAAATGGACCCAGAATCTGGCTTGAGCTCTCTGGTAAGGATCGGAAGGGAGGAAGGGGTTTTTGTCGGACCAGGCCTCGTCGATGTACTGTACCACGTTCATGGATTCGCAAACCGGTTTACCGTTATGGATGAGAACCGGAATCTTCTTGTGAACCGGATTCATCTGGAGAAGCAGGGGACTCTTGTTCCTCAGATTCTCTTCTCTATACTCAAACTCGACTCCTTTCTCCCTAAGTGCGATCCTTGCTCTCACACCGAACGGGCTCGGCCAGAAATCTAGAAGGATCACCTCATCCGCCATTATTGCCTAGTCTTGTATGAACTTGATTCAAAACTTCAGAGTAAGTGCTTTGTGAGAATATTTCACATCATTTTATCTTCTTTTTCGATTTGTTTTAGTGATAATGTTTTTTATTTGTCAACTACTGTTATTGAGATTCAACAAGAACTGAAATTTTAAAATTGGGTTTTAGAAAATGCTTAGGCCACTGCTTACGTCATTATACTTATGACTAGAGGTCTTCAAGAAGATCTCGAAGTTTTGTTTTTTTTTTAATCTTTTTTTGTTTCTTTTCAAGATCACAAAGTTTCTCTCTCTCTCTCTCAAAGAGGTCAACTTTAAAGCGTTATTATAACTAGACAAGGCATTCTGTGATTTTAAGAGCAAACATCGAACTCAAGAAAACAAAGCGACCAAATTTCAGAACAACACTTCACTTTACAGATACACTCTGCATTATTAGAAACACCAAAACCTAAAGAAACAGACAACACACTGAAAGATCTAAAACAGAACAGAGAAACCATTCAAAGAGATCACATAGCTTACTCGATCCCATATAACTTCTTAAACTGTAAAACGAATCCAACAATTTTATCAGGATCAGGTAAGGACGTAGCCACACTCTCCCTCTCCATACACCTCTTGCCCCAAGCCATCAGTTTTGAACACTCTGGCTCGATGCTGAAGTTGCCAAACTTCTGGTATGCAGGAAACCAGCAGTAGAATCCTATCAGGACAATGTCTACAAACCCGAATTTGTCGCCGCCAAAGTAAGGTTTATCTCCGAGCTCAGATTGAAGAATCTTGAGTATTTCCATAAACTCCTTTTTGGCCGCTTCTTGCTCCTCACCCTTCGTTGACCAAATCTTTCTCCCACAAACATACAATTGATCCTTGTGACACAAGTAAGATACTCACATATATGAGTTACAAGCAAAAAGGGCCCTAGAAGCTCGTTGAATTGCAAAGTCAATATATATTTTCTTTAATTGGTCTAATACTGTCAAGAATCCCGAGATGAGGTCTCGAAAGTTTCTAAATCGAGGGAGGTGAAACGAAAAGACACTTATTGTTACCTTCTTGTCGATGAAATCGGCCCAGAATAAGGCCTGAGCTCTCTGGTAAGGATCAGTAGGAAGAAATGGGTTCTTGTCGGACCAGAGCTCGTCGATGTACTGGACCTGAATGATAGATTCGCAGATGGATTTACCGTTGTGGATGAGAACTGGGATCTTCTTGTGAATCGGATTCATCTCTAGAAGCAAAGGGACTTTTGTTATTGACAAGATCCTCTTCTCTGTACTCATACTTCACTCCTTTCTCCTTCAAGGCGATCATCGTCCTCATTCCGAACATGCTCGGCCAGAAACTCAGAAGGATCACCTCGTCCGCCATTGTTGTGATCCGTGAAGCTCACAAATGTTAATTAATTCTCTTCTTTCTCTGTTTTTGTCTCTTGTCAAAATATGTAGTGGAGGGGTTAGGTAGAGCCAGGAGTTTTGGCTGTTTATAAGGGTAGCAGTGTCATTCAAAATTATTAAAATTTACCTTTTTTGGCAAACCATATTTATATAAATTTCTTTCTTTAGTTTTATAATAACTTTTATAATGGCTGTTTTAATATTTGCTAGTGGTGTATAAAGATATGTGATGATACTTTATGCCACTGGTTATACAGTGTTTTAATTAAACCAAGATTTGTAGTTTATAATTAGTGTCTTTGAAGAAAAAAACTGAAGAGTGATAAATCAAGATTTGAAGTTTTTTGGTGATGAATGATACAACTCTTTTTTGGGGTTGTCTTTAGGAGCAAAGGGCTTGTTACTCAGAAGTCAGAACCTCTTCTCTGTACACTCATATTTCACTCCTTTCTCCTCCACCATTTTTAGCTGTTGGTGAAGCTCAATGAGGAAGAGAGAGTAAAGCAATCAAAAGATATCATATTTTATTCGATCCCATATAGCTTCTTAAGGTATAAAACATATCCAATAACTTTTTCAGGATCAGGCAGAGACTTAGCTACACTCTCTGTAACATCCCGACTTTTGGTTAACCAAATATCGGATGTTACCATTTCCCAATTCCGGTTTTATTAAATTAAACCATCTCTATTTCATTTTCTATTTATTTCCTTTTTATTTGGATTTTTCCTAATTTCTTTCTAAGAGCCCATTAAACCCAACCCATCTATTTAACCTCCATATAAATACCTAATTAAATCCCTAAAACCCTCATTAAGCTCCTAATCAACCCTAGCCACCTTTTTCCTCTCTCTTTCTCTCCTCTCTGCGCCGAGCTGCTTCCTTTCTCTCTCTCTGCGTTTTCTTCTTCTTCTTTCTCTCTCTTGGCCGCGTCTCTCTCTCTCCTTGCCGCGGCCGCCGCCATCCTCCAAGCCTCTCTCGCCGTCGAAGCTTCCTTGCCTCGCTGTGATGTCTGCGCCGCCTCCTTCTCCTTTGGGTGAGATGGGAGCTGATTCTGATGGATCTCCTCTTAGATCTCCTTCTCCTCCGCCTCCTCCTCCAGTTTCTCAGCCTTCTAAGCCAAGGTGAGGGCTCTGTGGCTTCATCCTCTCTTACATATGCATGGTTGTCTTTTAAGTGACCTTTTCTTAGATCAGGCTTAGATCTGCTTGTTAGGGTTGTTAGAATTGTTTAGGACCTGGATCTATGTTGCCTGTTTGTTGATGATTGCTGGTTGTTGGTGGAATGAGATAATTAACCTGAACTTGGATCTAAACTTATTGGACTTTAAAATATTGATTGTGTGATGTTAACCTGATTATTGTTCCTTTTTGTTACAATTGGTATCAGAGCCCAGGATTAGATCACTTTAGCTCCGTTCTAAAGTGGTCCCGCCCGTTTTTGATTTCAAAGAGAAAACTGTTTGCGAAAACATTTTTATTAAAATCTTTTTAAAATGTTTTCAAACCTAGAACAATCAACAACTTATGGATGCTGATCTTATAGTTTTCTCTATCCTCTTTCTTGTTTGTTGTTAGGGGCCTAGGTTCAGGACGCGAGAAACCGCATGGAAGAGGGTTATGTCTTTAACCATGTGGTAGTTAAGTCTGCCTTTAGAGTTGCAACAAAATTGCCTCTAGACAAGACTGGTTATTGGTGTGGTTTAGACTGTACCATGGTGGTTGTTCTGAAACTACCACACTGTGCGATGCCAGTCCTGACTATGCAATCTTTGGTTCTATAGCAGCCATCAACATGTATGATTAGGTTCAGACCTGGTCTACATAGTTAAGGTATTAAAAGGCAGGCGTCGCAAGAGTCCATAGAAATTGTCAGACTGTAAAAAGTCAGGCGAGTTTCATCTCGGAATGACGAGGAACCTAGCTGTGTTATCCAAAGAGAACGGGTGTGCTTGAATACCTTTGGAAATTCATACTCTTAACCGGATTCAGAGGATTTCACGGTGGCTTTAGTGTGTATCGAATCCTGCTCAGCAATTCAACCAATAGCTTTCTTTTTCCTTTTCTTCCTTCCTTTTACCGTAGACCTATGTTCAAGATCCGAGAGCCTGCGCACAAGAAGTTCACTTCCTTCCTCAAGTGAAGTTTAGCAAAGAGCTGGTCGTCATTTCCGCTGGTAGTGAAGCAGAAGAAGATCCTTCCTCTGATTGTTCTCTTTTATATTTTAAAAAAAAAAGTTTTCAAAGGAGTATAACTTTATTTTTATTTGTTTGGATTATTGATTGCTTTTAGGTTTCTTATGAACTAGTTAGATTCCATGCTAGTGTTCTTTTATTTTTCCTTAAAAAAAAAATGTTATACTCCTCCTTGTCACATTAATAAAATGGTTTTTGGATTTTACCCAAAATGTTTTTATTGCATCATACCTTAAACTCTCCCTCCTACACGACCCTTAGCCTTCAATTCCTTCTAGGCGCCATGTGTCCTATGGCTTCCCTTCTGCTTTTTCTTTCCTAGCCTTTATCTTTTATAGTGCCATAATTTCTTGTGGTTCTATTCCTAATCTCCTTTCGAATTTCTATTCCTGCTTTCTCTTCTGATTTCATTTCCAATTCTCCTCATGGACCCATTTCATTTTCTGCTCCCATTTCCTGATCTCATTCCTGATCCTCCTGATTTCATTCATGTCCTCCTCTCCGATTTTATTCCTAGCCTTATTTCTGAAATCCTTCCTGATTCCTCCTCTGATCTCTTCTCTGATTTCCTTTCTGATTCCATTCCTGCTTCCATTCCCTGAATTCATTTCTGAATTCTTTCTCTTCTGCGACCAAGGTCCTCTTGTCATTTGTGCCTTCGATTCCCTTGGTTTGTAGTCTTCGAAATTCCTTTCAGGAACTTCTCTCTCATAGGATTCGGGGACGAATCCTGTCTAAGGGGGGAAGATTGTAACATCCCGACTTTTGGTTAACCAAATATCGGATGTTACCAGTTCCTAATTCCGGTTTTATTAAATTAAATCATCTCTATTTCCTTTTCTATTTATTTCCTTTTTATTTGGGTTTTTCCTAATTTCTTTCTAAGAGCCCATTAAACCCAACCCATCTATTTAACCTCCATATAAATACCTAATTAAATCCCTAAAACCCTCATTAAGCTCCTAATCAACCCTAGCCACCTTTTTCCTCTCTCTTTCTCTCCTCTCTGCGCCGAGCTGCTTCCTTTCTCTCTCTCTGCGTTTCTTCTTCTTCTTTCTCTCTCTTGGCTGCGTCTCTCTCTCTCCTTGCCGCGGCCGCCGCCATCCTCCAAGCCTCTCTCGCCGTCGAAGCTTCCTTGCCTTGCTGTGATGTCTGCGCCGCCTCCTTCTCCTTTGGGTGAGATGGGAGCTGATTCTGATGGATCTCCTCTTAGATCTCCTTCTCCTCTGCCTCCTCCTCCAGTTTCTCAGCCTTCTAAGCCAAGGTGAGGGCTCTGTGGCTTCATCCTCTCTTACATATGCATGGTTGTCTTTTAAGTGACCTTTTCTTAGATCAGGCTTAGATCTGCTTGTTAGGGTTGTTAGAATTGTTTAGGACCTGGATCTATGTTGCCTGTTTGTTGATGATTGCTGGTTGTTGGTGGAATGAGATAATTAACCTGAACTTGGATTTAAACTTATTGGATTTTAAAATATTGATTGTGTGATGTTAACCTGATTATTGTTCCTTTTTGTTACAATTGGTATCACCGAACGTGCATCTTAATAATGGAAGGACCTTTAAGAAATGGATGATTCTTTGAAATGGATGATTGTGCAGATAGATCTCTGATAGGACCCCTGGCTCCCGGAGGCGGGAGTCAGTGTTGTTTGTTGGCTATCGCTGTCGTGTGAGGCACGGCTAGAGCCATCGCTGGAGTGGATTAGCGATCCACTGTTTATTGAGCCATCCAAAGGGACCGCTGGGTACAGCTTTCTGGTGAGACCGCTATGAGCAGCTGTCTGAGTGCCCGTTAGTGTCATAGCCTGTCTCGGTGATTGCTGTGGATCAGTCTGTGTGACTGGCAGAGTGAACCTGACTAATGGGTATGGTAATAGGCCAGCCATTGGATGGGATTATTCTGGTTGCCTTTCCGGGTGAGGCATGGGGGCCCATGTGGCAGCCCACTACTGCCGCGTCCAGGGACCCGTTACTTGTGTAATTGTTTGTAGGGTTACCCTTGAATGCTGTGTGATTGATTGCTAGGAATGAATTGTCTATATATATATAAGTAAATATATCTATATATGTGTTGCTTGGGCTTGCTTTAGGATTAGATCTCTTAAAACCAATTTATGCTAGTTTGATGATGTTGTGGGCCTCCTTAAGGTCCACCTTCACTGAGTAATCTCAATTACTCACCCCTCCTCTCCCCTTGTCTTTCAGGTTTAGTAGGGAGATCAGCCTAAGTCTGTGTTGTTGATTGTTACATGGGCGTTTTCCTGGCGATCCTGCTCACCAGATCGGACATCCTACCGGACGCGGTTCGATGGCCGACCTAACATACCCGATTCTCCACTCTCTTAAGAGCCTGGGATAGGGATGTTACACTCTCCCTCTCCAAACACCTCTCAGCCCAAGCTATCAGTTTAGAACATTCTAGTTCGATGCTGAAGTTACCAAACTTCTGGTATTCAGGAAACCAGCTGTAGAATCCAATCAGGACGATGTCTACAAACCCGAATTTATGGCCGCCAAAGTAAGGTTTATCTCCGAGCTCAGATTCAAGAATCTTGAGTATGTCAATAAACTCCTTATTGTTTGCCTCTAGCTCCTCACCTTTCGCTCTCCAAGTCCCCCTCCCACAAACACACAACTGATCCTTGTTGCACAAGTAACATCAACATACTCACATATAAAAGTTACAAGCAAAACCCTAGTGCCTCTTTAAAAAAACCCTATTAATTGCAAAGCCAAGATCGGTTTCATGGATTTTAAAAGACGAATGTTGTTACCTTCTTGTCGATGAAATCGGCCCAGAATAAGGCCTGAGCTCTCTGGTAAGGATCGGAAGGGAGTAATGGGCTCTTCTCGGACCAGACCTCGTCGATGTACTGTACCTGTATCATAGATTCACAGATCGCTTTACCGTTGTGGATAAGAACCGGGATCTTCTTGTGAACCGGATTCATCTGGAGAAGCAAGGAGCTTTTGTTTTTGATCACATCCTCTTCTGATATATACTCGTACTTGACTCCTTTTTCCTCCAAAGCAATCATCGTCCTCATTCCGAATATGCTCGGCCAGAAATTCAGTAGGATCACCTCTTCCGCCATTGTTGCGTTCCCTGAAGCTCACAAATATTAAATTTCTTCTTCTTCTCTGTTTTTGTCAAAATGTGTAGTGGAATTTGGCTGTTTATAGGGTACCAATGTCATTCAAAATTATTAAACTTACCTTTTTGGCCAGCCGTATTAAACCGTTTTAAAAATTATTTAGTGGTACTTTTATAATTCTTGCATTACATTGTTAATCCTTTCCTATAATGTCACGTATATTAATATATTCTTAGTGGTCTATTAAGAAGACATGCTACTATATATAACTGTTTACAGAGTAGAAAAAGCATATAACTGTTTACAGAGTAGATATTTTTTTTTATATATAGAAATGATTGCATAGTCTGATAAAATCAATGTTTATGTTTTTGTTGGTGATGAATGATACAACAACTTTGTTTTTCTCACTATTAAATCGAAACAGAGGCATCCGATTTTCAGAAAAAAAAGTCTTCCACTTTACTGACACTCTGCATTATTAGGAAAAAAGAGCTAAACAGAACATAAAAAGCATTTACTTAGAGATCATATCTTACTCGATCCCATATAACTTTTTTTTTTTTTTTTTTTTTTTTTTTTTTTGATCCCATATAACTTCTTAAGCTGTAAAACGTATCCAACAACTTTCTCAGGATCAGGCAAAGACTTAGCGACACTCTCTCTCTCCATACACCTTTTGCCCCAAGCCATCAGTTTACAACACTCTGATTCGATGCTGAAGTTACCAAACTTGTCGTATGCAGGAAACCAGCAGTAAAATCCAATCATGATAATGTCTACAAACCCGAATTTGGCACCGCCAAAGTAAGGTTTATCTCCGAGCTCAGATTGAAGAATCTTGAGTAATTCAAGAAACTCCTTATTGGTTGCTTCTAGCTCCTCGCCTTTCGTTGTCCAAGCCCTCCTCCCACAAACACACAACTGATACGTATGGCACAAGTAACATTACATACTTACATATACTAAGTTAAAAGCAAAACCCTAGAAGGCTAGTATTCGATATAAAGCCTCAAGAAATCTTTTAATTGCAATGTCAAGATCTTTTCTTTCCATTCATTGTTACAAAGTTTCCATTGTTGTTACCTTCTTCTCGATGAAATCGGCCCAGAATAAAGCTTGAGCTCTCTGGTAAGGATCAGTAGGAAGAAATGGGTTCTTGTCGGACCAGACCTCGTCGATGTACTGGACCTGAATGATAGATTCGCAGACCGGTTTACCGTTGTGTATGAGAACCGGGATCTTCTTGTGAATCGGATTCATCTCTAGAAGCATAAGACTCTTGTTATTGATTACATCCTCTTCTCTGTACTCGTACTTCACTCCTTTCTCTTCCAAAGCAATCATCGTCCTCATTCCGAATATACTCGGCCAGAAATTCAGAAGAACTACCTCTTCCGCCATTTTTGTGATCCCTTCACAAAGCTACTTGGTGATGAATTATTATTCACTATTTCTTTTCCATTCATAATATCTAGAAAACAAAAAGAATCCATAGTGGAGTCTCCACTCAAAGCCTCAAAGTGAGGGAACTGAGCATAAACTTTTAAAACGCACTATCTTTTTGGGCCAGTGCCACGCGTTATCAGCGTTTGCAGCTTTTACGTTACATAATTCAACATATAATCTTAAGAAAACCAACAAAACACAAATCCTTTGCCCATGTCCTCCCAAAAGTGGTACCCAACAAGTTTTATAATTTTCTTAGAAAAAGGAAATTTTCTATTATTGGTTCTTGCATGATTGTAACGTGGCCACCTACTCTATTACTATAATCGGTACTATAATATATGCGTTTGCTGGACTAAAAGACAATTATATATCTGCTGAGGGGTACAAAATACAAATATCTCCTAGTGAGCAGTGAGTAAATTGTAGCTAGTGTGACAAAGAAGTCTTAACACTTTCTCGTGATTTTTCTTTTTGAAAGGGATGTTCATCCTCCATCCAAACGATTTTATTCTACTAAAACTACTACTTTGTGAATACGGCTTCATATTCGGATGCTTAAACCCAAACAAATTTTATTTAAAATAAAGGATCCATTCAAACCACCGCACACACACTGATGCTCTCTCACATTATTAGGAAATCACAAAACAGAAAGAAACCAAAAGTTAAAAAAAAAAAAACAGAACACACAGCTTCGTCAGAAACAGAACGCATGCACAAGCTAGAGACCAACAAGAATTTTACTCAGATCCGAGATTATTCTTCCTAAACGCAGCGGCGTATGCAACAATCTTCTGAGACTCAGGGAGAGACTTAGACACACTCTCTTTCTCCATGCACCTCTTGCACCAAGCAATCAGCTTTGGGCTCTCTGCCTCGATGCTGAAGTTACCAAACTTCTCGTATGCTCCGAACCAACTGTAGAATGTAATCAAGGAAATGTCTACATAGCCAAAGCTATCTCCACCAAAGTAAGGTTTGTCTCCGAGCTCAGATTCAAGAGTCTTGATTGCCTCAATGAACTCCTTCTTGCCTGCTTCTTGTTCCTCACCTTTCTTCCCCCAGATCTTGAATTGGGCTTCGCTGACCTGAATGTATCCATTGCACATTGTGACAAAACTTCGAGTTATATCAGACCAAAACGCTCAGATTTTCATCAGAACCATACAATTTTATTTGTCTGAACCTATCAGTCGCTTTTTTAAAATAAACATCAAACAAGCTTAAAGATGAGTCAACAAACAAACCCCTAAAATTTTGGGGCTAATTTGTCAGACAAACTCAGATCAAATCCCAAATCAACATGCAACATTCAAAACTTAACCCTAAAGTACCATTATTGCCAAGTTCAGACTCAGATGGGGCACAAAAGGGATTTAGTTACCTTCTTGTCCACGAAATCGGCCCAGAACCTAGCCTGAGCTCTGCCGTAAGGATCGGCAGGGAAGAAAGGGTTCTTGTCGGACCAAGCCTCGTCGACGTACTGGACAACGTTTAGAGATTCGCAGACCGGTTTACCGTTGTGGATCAAAACCGGAACCTTCTTGTGAATTGGATTACTCTGGAGGAGCAAAGGGCTCTTGTTCGTGAGGTCCTCTTCTCTGGACTCGAACTCCACACCTTTCTCCCTCAACGCGACTCTAGCCCTCATCGCGAACATGCTCGGCCAGTAATCCAGAAGAATCGTCTGGTTCGCCATTGATTTCGATCGATGAAGCTCACAAATGAAATGATCACAAGAAAGTGTGTGAAGTGAAGAATGGTGCGAGTAACCGTCGTTTATAGGGGAAGATACTGTGAGTCTGTGACATGTAAAAGATATTTTGTTTTCTGTAACGTCACATCAACTTTCATAAAAAGCATTAATTATGGTCCAAATATCAGTCTTTTTTAAAAATAGTAAGAACTTTATAATTTTATGTCATTCACTTTTTTAGAAGATCACTACCCGCCGATAATATGTGTTCCAATGGAATATTTACACTTCTTTTTGAACTGATTATATTATTTATTTATTATTATTGTCCACAGTTACGTTTAGTCGTATGATTGAATGCCTCATAAAGTCATATTAAAGGGAAATCCGATATCCTATTAAACTACATGCAAACTGTTTTTGCAAGAAAAGTTCTTAACCCTTGCAAAATTGAGGATGCACATTTCTTTTCCACGCCAAATACGACTGTATTAATTCTTTAAGCCTATACGTACGATGATTTGGAAATGTCTCTGGTTACTTATAATTAATGGAGTTTAGAGAGATCTTGAATGACCGGTTCTATATTCGGTACTTAGCTTGTGTCGTGGCCACCTACTCTACATCCTCTTTTGTATTATTGTATCCCAGTTAGGTGGCTGTACATTTTACACGTGATTTTAACTAACGTACAAATAATACACCTTAGTAAGCAAAAGACAATATAACGTTCACCTAGTTTATGAGCGTTTGGATTTTGGAGAGAGTTACAGCTTACTTCACGTTTATGTTTAGATTTATCTATAGATGACTAAACAAAATTGTATACGAGAAACTAAATAAAACGGAGTTACAAAATTTCTTCCCACAAACTTCAAAAATAGGGAATCCATCCGGGCGGTGACGTAAAAGTCACATCCGATATTGCATACCGGACACAAACCACATCGATCATCCTTATTTCACATTGTCTACATGATAAGGTTGCTAAATTTGGGCTTCCTAAGCCCATTCATATTCATTATTGGAAGCCAAGCCCACAACCTTCCACCATGTCTGTTTTTAGTTTTTACCCATCTCTCCTCACGGATGTATGTACATACGTAGTTAGAATCTACTTAGCCCAACCGATCAGTTTTGGACACCCTGATTCGATGCTGAGAAGTTAACCATACTTCTCGTATTCATTAAACCAGGTGTGGAATCCTATCAATCCAATGGTCTACACTATCAAAGCTATCTCCACAATTAGCTATACCATGTACAGTAAATTGGTAACAACTTTATTTCGTCTGGTTTAATGCGCTATCTATTGATAGAAAGAAACACATGTTCGAAAGAATCCGAACGGTTATAAAGAGGAATTCGTCGTACGAGGAGTGTAACAGCTCACACGTAAGCGAGCTTTGATTGTTAATTTGTTGATGATTATCTGCCCTAATGAAACACACTGATAAATAAATAGTTAATATTCTAATTAGAAATCACAAGATACTTAAAAAAGATCATTCGTTCCACACTTACGATGCATACAAACCAGAACAGAAATCACTTTAAACAAAGACACACATTCTCTACAAACCACCTCACACAGATAGATTACTCTTGCATTATTTAAGAAAGAACAACAGAAACACAACCGAGCACAGGAACCAAACGACAAAGAAACGGATCTCTACTCAACTACAAATTTCTTCCTGAGCTCAGAGACGAATTCAGTGACCTTCTCTGACTCGGGCAGCGACTTAGCCACGCTCTCCCTCTGCAGACACCTCTTAGCCCAACCGATGAGTTTCGGACACTCTGATTCGATGCTGAAGTTACCAAACTTCTCGTATGCTCCGAACCAGGTGTAGAAACCAATCAATCCAATGTCCACATAGCCAAAGTCATCGCCACCAAAGTAAGGTTTGTCTCCAAGCTCAGATTCAAGAGTCTTGAGTAGCTCGATGAACTCCTTCTTGCTTGCCTCTTGTTCCTCCCCTTTGGTCGCCCACACCTTCCTCTGCGCATCGTACATCTGATCCATTGCACAACAGTTTATATAGGTACATCGAGCTATGTCAGAACTCAAGAGGCACCCAAGCAGATAAAAGCTCAACGATGACAACAGATTTAGCCATATTTTGCAAAACCCAATCAATTTCCACAAATCGCTTGAAGATAAGTCCACAAATCGAAACCATAAGATTTGGGAGTGATTTCTCTAAACCTATCAATTTGCAAACTCAAAAACCAATTTACAGTAACATAACATCGAACTATCTTTTAGACGAACCCAGACAAGCTCAAGGATGAATCCACAACCAAAATCCCTAAAATTTTCCCAGTATTTGAATTCAGAAGGTGAAAAACGATGTCGCTCTAATCAGACTTAACAAACAATTCATCTTAAAAAAAACCTGAATTTCGATTTCAATCGCAGGAAATCGAAATCAAGGACAAAACTAAACAGCAGAAAGGGATTTTGATTACCTTTTTGTCGATGAAATCAACCCAGAATCTAGCCTGAGCCCTCTGGTAAGGATCGGAAGGGAGGATAGGGTTCTTGTGAGACCAGACCTCGTCGATGTACTGAACCTGGATGGAAGATTCGCAGACCGGTTTGCCGTTGTGGATGAGAACCGGGATCTTCTTGTGAATCGGATTCATCTGGAGAAGCAGAGGGCTCTTGTTCCTCAGATCCTCTTCTCTGTACTCGAACTCCACACCTTTCTCCCTCAACGCGATCCTCGTCCTCATCCCGAACATGCTCGGCCAGAAATCAAGAAGGATCACCTCGTTCGCCATTGTTGCGATCTCTCTCAAGCTCAAAAAAAGTGTTTTTTTTTTTGGGTTACTATTTGTATTTCTAGATTATCTGTGGTGGTGGAAACTTGTATAGAAGCGAGTGTGAGGGGTTGGTTAATTTATATTGGCAAAATAAAGAATACGAAAATGGATTTTGCTTCCTCTTAATCGTTACGCCACATAATCTTTAGAAGCATCTGGACAAATATACAGCATTTAAAAGTCATTTAGGTTTTTTTTGCCATAAAAGTTATTAATGTATAGTTTAAATAATACTGGATTATGGTCCGTCCGTGCATGCATTGGTTATACGCAGTTATACTGTATTTAGATTGTATTTAGATGTACCTTTATTATTGATCAAACAATTTTTACGAAAATGTATTTTGCTTCCTCTTAGTCGTTACGTCACAAAATCTTTACAAGCATGTGGTCGAAAATATCTTCAAAAGCTTTTGATTTAAAATTTCTCCCAGTACTATCTTTAGACTTATGTAAAGTGGTACACTGAGTAAAATTGTAGATGTTCTTATTTTAAGTGGTACACTGAGTAAGAAATTGCAGATAGTCTTTTGGAGTCTACTATTGTTAAATATTGGAATTATAGATTTTTGTTGAGTAAAGAAAGATTTATATGGAAGATTTAAATCAAGATGTTACAATTGCAAGTTTTTGGTAATAAAAAACATACAATTTAAAACAAAAATTGTATATAAGCATTAAGCAATCTATTGGACCATTTGATATTTTGTTGAACTTAATTGTTTATTTGTAGAGGAGTTATCAAAATTAATTCATCTTAGAGTATCTCCATCAAATGGTATTTAGCATAGGTATTTCACCATTGGACCAAAAAAATACTATTATTTTATTTCAAATAGTTGAGAACTCTATCCAATACCAGTCACCAGATATCCACCTAATAAAATGAAAATATATATTTTGGTCATATGTTGAGATACTTTGAGATAGAGGAGTTCTTAGTTGAACTTGCTAAAAAAAAAATAACAAAAAAAAAAAATAGAAGGTTGTGACTTGTGATTTTGATTTAGAAAAGTGAGCTATATAATTAAAGAAAAGAAGGTAGAAGCCTAGAAGGTAGTAGAGTAACATAAGTTGACCGAGTCAATTGGATGATTGGATCGATATGTTTCGGTGAGATTAGTGTAGAATTTGTATTGTATGCTTAGGCCACTACTTACCTCATTTTACTTAAAGTCAATTAGCTGAATAAACCAAATGAGAATTGAAATTAGCAAAATGACTATGAGTCCACCTAAAACAAAATATACTGTGCCCATGATTAACAGTAAAAACAATGTTGCCCTTCTGATATTTTCTCTCAACTTGCAAAAAAGCGTTTGACATCTTTCACTGTGTACTTATATGGTGGCTATGAGATTTTGTAGAGTAAGAAATCACAGCCACACAAATTTTTTTCCCCTGAACATACTATATACATTATAATAACAAGTTACATATTTTGTTATAGATTAACAGTTATTATATCATATATAAACATATAAATTTAGATATAACATTATATTTTACATGATAAATATAATGTTAGATTGATAACAATAATGAGTTATGTAGATGATTAAAGATATTATTGATATACTTGACACATTACATATAAATTAACGTCTAACATTACAATTTACTAGGTAAAAAATATGTTAGATTGATAACAATAATAAATTATATAGATGATTAAAGATGTTATTGATATACTTAGTACGTTACATATAAATTAACGTCTAATCTTATAATTAACTAGGTAAAAAATATGTTAGACTAATAACAATAATGAATTATCTATATTGTTATAGATGTTATTTTGGTAATTAATGCGCTACAAATACATATAACACTCTATATGTATTGTTAGCAGTCTAACAATAGAATTATATGAGTAATTCAGATAGATACACACTACTATATATGTTACCATCAATCTAATAGGATCATTGTTTGTTCTAGCAATTGAATACAAAGTTGTTTTTACTTACAAAAAAATCAAATCAATGTTAGTTTTTTTATTGAAAGTTCATATCAGAGGTGAAATTTTATCCAGCTTTGATCATATCCAATTAATTTTAGATCTGGCTTTCCAATAAGCAGATATTGTGATGGTGATTTCATATTGTTGGAAAATATTTTTTTGAGCATACAATCTTGAAGATGAATGTAAAAAAAATATAAGAGAAACTAAATAGAGAGATGAACGATAGAGAAGATGAAAGCGAAAAAATTTACATAAGAGGCATAAGAAAATACAGACGAAGGAAAAAGAAAGGAGAAAGAGAAAGGAGAAAGAAAAAGAAGAAAGAAAAAGAGACATTATAATTTATAGACATGAGGTGATGAGTGTAGGAGTGTATTGGCATTAAAAAAAAATTGAACAGTTACTAAAATAGTGTATGGTCATTCTTGCAAATACGAGTTTAAAGTTGAGTATTTGTTATAATTATTCTTTTACTTACCATACCAGTTACCACCGACCTCTACTTATATGTTCCGGCCCCTCTCTAGAATAAAATAACGACAATTAACAACTCTCCATCGTTTTAACTTTGAATCAGCACTTGCCGACTAAGAAAAAAAATCAACACTTCATATATCCACGATTGCGAATTAAAGCAATTCTGACTAATTACGTTGTTGGCTTGTTGCTCACTATATTTTACAGCTTTATAGGAAGCTCCTCTGACTACTCCGAATCCTATGCCTCTGAAACAAAAATTGATCTATTTTCCCTCATATGTCTTTTTCATATTTGAAAGATACAGTGATCGTCGAAAATCATACCTCGTACAAAAATTTTTGTTGCTGATAAATCCTCTGACTACAAGCGGGTTTAAAAGAGAAATTTTTTTTATTATTGTTCATCGAATTGATTATCGTCGCCGACATTGGAAAATAAATAAGAACCTTGCTCTCTTTTTTGTTTTAAAAATATATGGATGATTATATTATGAAATATCCCATAACCCTTTTTTCCTTTTAAATTACGCTCTCGATTTTTGAAGTTGCTAATTTGCTATAGACTCGTATGGGCTGGGCTCCTTTCTCTTATAGAACGAATACATTTTTTATTTTTTTACTTGAACATCCAACTAAAATTTTTGCGTCACAGCCCAATAGTATTTTTTCTCCACCACTTTTTTTTTTTTTTTAAACTAAAAAGTGCTTGAAGATAGTGTTTTTCTTGCGCATAAAAATGTATATAATTTCTAGTAAAGTTATTATGATAATATGTTTTATTTCGTGTGTTTCCACTAAATTAGATTCGCACCCTTTCAATTTCTTGAGAGCCTAAAGGTGAAACGATTAATTATCGCTATATATAGAATAAAACAGGTCAGAACTCACGAGTCACTCACACAGGCTTTTTTTGTTTGTTTAATAAACCTCATCTTATCAGTTATCTTTCAAATACGCAGATCTAACTTAAATATAACACAACAACATGCTCGTACAATCATATTGTATTCATATCGCAATCTAAAGTCTTATGCAACAGAAATGAAACACGAAAACACCAATCATAGTTTTAGAAAAAATCACAAATAGTCTCTGCTTTTTCAAGTGAGTGAGAAAACAATAAGCAACAAAAAAAAAGGTTTGGTTTGGATAAGAATTCTCCTAATTTGATTGGTTCTACATCCTCTCCAAATCCCAACCTCCAATTTTATCATCCTCTTCACATACATAAGCATATAAACCCCCAGTGAGTTTTGTCCTCGTGCAGATAAATTCCCAATATATGGAATAGTTTCTGTTACCCTAGTCCCAAGTCTCTTCGTCTCCTCAACTTGGTGAGATTTCTCTCAGAGATTCTTGTCCTTCACACATGTATGTATGTCTGTAGAACTACTCATATTGATATTGTCTTTGCTCTGTACTCCCTGATCTTAGCAGATATTTATAAGAGATCGATAAGCTCAAAGAAGAGATGGAGATCACTAACGTTAACGAGTATGAAGCCATCGCTAAGGAAAAATTACCAAAGATGGTCTACGATTACTACGCTTCTGGCGCAGAAGATCAGTGGACTCTTCAAGAGAACCGAAACGCTTTCTCTAGAATCTTGTGAGCTTCTGACGAAAGTTAACCCTAATCATCTGTTTTGCTTCATCAAGAAAGCTTCTCTGATCATACCAAACCTTGTCTCTCTCTATTGTATGTAATCTAAGGTTTCGGCCTCGGATTCTGATTGACGTAAGCAAGATTGATATGACTACAACTGTCTTGGGATTCAAGATTTCTATGCCCATCATGGTTGCTCCTACTGCTATGCAGAAGATGGCGCATCCTGAAGGTAAGAATTTAAAAAGAGAACAGAGTGTAAGAAAACAGAGCATCATGATTTCTGATCTATAATTTGAATGTGATGTTCAGGTGAGTATGCTACGGCTAGAGCTGCATCTGCTGCTGGAACTATCATGGTTTGTCTCTGACCCTTTATTCTTCGGACAGTAACAATTTGAACGTTGCAACATAACAAAGCTCTTGTTGTAGACACTATCTTCATGGGCTACTTCTAGCGTTGAAGAGGTTGCTTCAACAGGACCCGGAATCCGATTTTTCCAGCTCTATGTAAGTTCCATCGAGCGCTATATATACTACTCGCTCATGAATCAAGAAGCTGCAACGTTCAATTTTTTTCTACTTTAAGGTCTACAAGGACAGGAACGTGGTTGCTCAGCTTGTGAGAAGAGCAGAGAGAGCCGGATTCAAAGCAATCGCTCTCACTGTCGATACACCGAGGCTTGGTCGCAGAGAATCTGATATTAAGAACAGGTTTACCTTGCCACCTTACTTGACTTTGAAGAATTTTGAAGGTCTTGACCTCGGCAAGATGGATATGGTATCAACATTATCGATCTTTGATATTATATGTAATTTCCAAATGATATGGCACTTTCCTAACATTGTCGGTGGATTATGTAGGCAAATGACTCAGGACTAGCATCCTACGTGGCTGGACAAATTGATCGTACCTTGAGCTGGAAGGTAAATCAAATACAAATCAATGATATTGGAGATTATTACAGATTCTAAAAAAAACTTCTTGTGATTGGTCTTCTTTGGGATACATGATACAGGATTTGCAATGGCTTCAGACAATCACAAAGCTGCCTATTCTTGTGAAAGGTGTGCTCACAGCTGAGGATGGTGAGAAAACCCTAAACTCAACAACACATAACTCTCTTAGTTTCATGTGTTTTTTACTTTACATTTTGTGAAAAAAATAAGTGTTGAAGTGTATGTTACTTTCTTTGTCTGCCAGCTAGGATGGCGGTACAAGCAGGAGCAGCCGGTATCATCGTGTCTAACCACGGTGCTCGTCAGCTTGATTACGTCCCAGCCACAATCATAGCCCTTGAAGAGGTTAATTAGTAACTAGAAATCAACTTATTAATTTTTCAAACATTATGAAGTTTGTTATTACAATTTCACTCTTGATGATGACTCAGTTATTATGGTTCTCAGGTTGTTAAAGCAGCTCAGGGAAGGATTCCGGTATTCTTAGACGGTGGAGTTCGACGTGGAACCGATGTCTTCAAAGCACTTGCGCTTGGAGCCTCGGGCATATTCGTAAGTGGCAATAGTTTCTTGCAACACAAGAAATCATTTGCTTCACTGTTCGTTCTTAATCTTTTATCTGTGAAACAGATCGGACGTCCGGTGGTGTTCTCGTTGGCGGTGGAAGGAGAGGCCGGCGTGAGAAAAGTGCTTCAGATGATGAGAGAAGAGTTCGAACTCACAATGGCATTAAGTGGATGCACTTGTTTAAAGGAGATCACACGTAACCACATTGTCACCGATTGGGATGCTCCTCAGGCACGTTTAGTCCCAAAGCTGTAAATACATATACCAAAAGAAATGTATCTTTTGCCTTCTTCGTCGTCTATCCTTGTGATTTCTATGTACATTTCAATGGCTACCGCTATTCTTCTGCCTTTTCTTTTCTCTCTGCGTATCTTTTTGTTAATTCCCTTGATATCTACTTGTAAATCCTTGTGTTTTGTATGTATATTAAAACCTCGTGATTTGTAGTTGTACGTAGTCCTTAATTTTATGTTTTTTGTGAGAAAAAAAAATTGTTTTTCCTTTCGAAATGACGAAATCATTCCTGAAAGAGAAATACAAGAAAATCATGTCCCCTTACTTGCCTACAAAACGATATTGCGAAATTTCGGAAACTGATAATATGACATGGAGACGACTTATGGGGCATTGATTTTACTGCCGAATATCTTGAGTTTAACACACACAAAAATAAAAAATTCAAAATTTCATGTTCAATCCCAAACCCTTTAACGTTGTTGTACCCAAAAAACTTGGAACGAATCATTTTTTTATATATAAATAACTTGGCATGAATCACACTGTCCTTTCAAAACTCCTACAGCCAGACTTAGCTATTTTCTTTCTAAATCCAAATCAAATATAAACTTTAAACTTGTAACAAAGTTTAATTTTACTGATGAAAGTATTTATGTCAAAAAAAAATATACTGTAGCTATATTTCTTTTGTTTGTTTTGGCGATCGAATATAGTATATTACAAACAACAAAATAAGAAAATAATTTAGCTAATTTGGGGACCCAACAAAAACAGCTAAATTAGGTTATTTTGTCTGAAAAAATAAGATTTTCACACCGATCATTCTGATAATATGATCAATTCATTATAGATACATATATATAGATTGTTTCGTGAAGAATCAAATAAAGTAAGAAACAAAATCTTTTTGATAATATGACCAACCGGGATGTGCTTGCGTAGCGTCCGATATCTAAACCAACCGGGATGTGCTTGCGTTGCGTTCGATATCTAAATCAACCGGGATGTGCTTGCGTACGTTGCGTTCGATTTCTAACGACACGTAGCAGTAAACTATCATCATAACGTGATTATAATACACAGTTGACAAAAAACAAAAAAGCACACGCACACATAGAGATAATTAAGAAGGTGTAGATAGAAGTTCCTTCGGGGCCTCCGAAAAAAAAGGAGATAGATAGAAACAGTTGATATGTTTTTCCATATAAAACTGGTTTAGAACCAGTTCCAGTATTAGAGGTCTAAAGCGAATGACAAGAAAAAATTTTCATTTTACTTTAATTATATCTAAAAAATAAGTTGTAAATCAGATTTAAATATTATTTTATAAGATTTATAAAGTATTAATGTTTTTTATTAATTTATAATAAATTTTTTAACCACAAAAAATAACACAAAAATATATCTTAACAAATATATTAATTTTCTTTTTTTTGGACACCAACCAATATACTAAATAAAAATACAAAAATTAAGAATCCTAAAACTTACTTAATATTAAGGGGGCCTAAGGCAAATGCCTTATTTTTTGTTCATTAAGCACGGCTCTGTTTAGAACCTGTATCTAGAAGTCTCTGTAGACTTTACAATACGATATTTTTAGAAGCATCGAATTAGAGGTGTCAAATTGGGCTCTGACCCGCGGGTTCGGCCCAAGTAAAACCGTAGCGGTGCGGGATTGGACACCATAAAATTTGTCCAAATAAAAAGCGGGTTTTGCGGTCCAAACCCGCGTGGACGTTGGGCTTTTGCGGGTCGGGTCAAAGCGGATCCGCGGGTTTGCGGGCCAACCCGCAAAATTTGATGTTTTCTTGTAAACTTCGAAAAGTGAAGTATTTTGTCATTTTTGATTAATAGATTTCGAAGTAGTAGTTTCATAGAGTGAATCGAAACCTAGTGGAATCATACTTCAGCTATTGGGCTTTGTGATAGCTTCATTTCAATGAGATCAAAGAATCATCAAACTAGTATATGTTTTATATTCGATTCGATTCAGATTCTGTGATTGGATTTTTGAATTTGAGAGAAAATCTGGTCATTGTCTTCAGCTAAAAACAAGTAATTTTTTTAGAGTTTTAATTAATTTCAGTTTAGTGTCATAAGTTTGCTTGTTTTTTGTTGGTTTTGCTCATCGACTATATCACGGACGTGGTTTTATTTTGTCTGCAGCGATGCAAAGGTAATTTAGAATCGCTTAAATCTTGAATTGACAATAAATAGTTTTGCTTGAAAATCACATTTGTTTGTACGTTAGACTAACAAATAAGCTTTGTTCATATTTTTTATTATTTATTTTATATGTGAATGTCTTGTTGCTTGTATCTTGATGGTTATTTAGCTTAAATTACCAGTTTTTATGTGTATCATTATTTGTAATTCATTTATTTGCTTTTCAAAACTAAGTGTTTATTTTTACCGTTAAATTGATTTTTCAAATCTTATGGTATCCTAGGGTTAGGAGTTTTATATAAGAGGTTTATCGAATTCATTTGTTTGTTCATCGAATTTACTTAGACAAGAATTTTCTTTAGTTTTGTTTCTTATGCATATTGTAATTCAGTTACGAGGAAAATTTTATTCTCCTCTAGCAAATTTTCTGGTACTATAAATCTAAATGTCATAAAAACTTTAAGATGAAGAAGAAAGTATGAATCCGCAGGTCAGCCCGCAAAACCGCAGAATATAGGCGGGTCGGACTTGGACACATCAATATAGGACTACAGCTTATGATGGGCCAATCCACCAGACCCGGAAAAAAATTAAATCCGCATCGGGTCGGGCTATTTGGACGCGGGTTGACCCGTTTGACATCTCTACATCGAATGAACTCACATACTGTACACCGTGGCATTTTAGCTTCTATCTACAAACTCTCGTTACTTGATTTTCTTTAAAGTATTATAATCTTTTCAAGGCGTCAAATTCCGAGACAGCTTCAGCGTATTTTCGGTAAATATAATATTCAAACACTTTTCTTCGTTAAAAGGTTTATATCCTAAAACTACGTATGTTATTGTTGCGACTTGTGATTTTTTTTTTTTGTTTGTTTAAAATTGTTGCGAATTTTGTTCGGCTAGCTATTCCTATCTACTTACGATTTCAATTCGAAAAAACTCTATATTTTAAAAAGATATGGTTTACTCAGTATAAACCCGTAATATAATTTGAAGCTAGGCCGATCTATAGGCATAAGATGTATGTAGTCATGTAGATATTGTATATACGAAATATAAATAAATGAATTTAAGTATGCCCAATAAAGAGAGTGTATTACACGTTTAAAGAGTCGAATCAATCGATTGATCACTAATGTGAAATGCGAGTGCTTATGTATATGCTTACGTATACGTACGTCAGAAGTCAGAACCAGTAAGAGTAGGATAAAAGATCACAAAAATATTTCTTTAATACAATTCCAAATTATGAGATCAAGTTTGCTAACTTAGAAAGCGCAACAACTTCGCGACGTAAAATCCATAAATAAATGTCGTAATCCGATAAAATAAATCCATAAATACATTTTCTTATACGAAAATTCAAACTAAAAGTGTTATGGCCTATAAAGTTGTTTTTCTACTATACTAGCAAAATATAGATTTATAAAGTTATTCATGCATAGCAAATGAAACATTAGGTAACATACAAAATACAAATTATTGATAACACAGTTTAATCCATACTATGTGGAATATTATTAATGTTGTTTAGCGGATAAGAACATCACTTGCGATAGATTGCTTATGAAAACCAACTCCAAGATGTTTATTACAGGTCAATACTGCTTCAATATTTTCGTGATATCAAAATTAGCATTTGAATTTTCTTCCAGTCCACTAAATAGGAAAAAGACATTGAAATTGTAAGTTTTAAACTAGCTGACAATTGTTGGCAAAACAAAAAAAAACTAGCTGACAATTGCATTAATAAAAACACAAAAAAAAACTAGCTGATAATTGGAAAAAGACAAAAATAAGAGTAGGACCCATTCTCAAACAAACAGAGATATCACATGAGAACCTTCTCTTCATCACTTTATTTCAAACAAAGGCAAAATTCCTTCTAAGAACCTTCTTTTCATCTCTCCATTTCTTCGTTGTTCACAGCTCGCAGAGATATTTGTGACTATGGAACCCGATTTTAGGTAGCAAGGCGACGGAGAAAACAAAATGGAACCCGATTTTAGGTTTTCTAGTCTAATTGACTTTATAATTAAGTAATAACAATGCTTTTTTTAATTAAAAGTTTGTAGTATTCAACTCATGGTCCTTTACACACAAAAATAACGCCAAGAATAACCAAGATCGCGGATTAGCCCAAATAACAAAAGAGCCCAAGTGAGAGAAAACTGAAATTTGTTCTTTCTTTTTTGGTCACCGAGTGGCGAATGTAATTATAATTCTGTAATGTGATCTTAACTAAGCAAAAAAAAAAAAAAACAAGAGATTCGATACCGGGGACTCATGCACAACAATCCCTCAGGCAACCGTTCTCTCTCTCTCTCTCTGTTTCTCTATCAATACTACTAATATAGTAGTAGTAACATTTATAACCCTAAAAATTAAAAGCTGAGATTGTCACAAAGCTTGCTTCATTAGATCTTCATTACTGATGAACGTTCCGTGGAAACCGTAAGGCACTCTCGACGGAAGCGTAACAGTAGCTTCAAGCTTCAGATTAACGGCGTTAATGATTTGGAGCTCTGATTTCACTTTCTCCTCGTCGTGAACAAACACCATAATGTAACCGTTGTCTTCTCCGTCGCCGGAAACATCCGGCATAAACAGAGGCTCTCCTCCGTATTTTCCATGTCCGTATATATACTTTTGAATCTCTCCGGTCGACAAATCAACTTTCGCGAAACCGGACACTTTAGGCCACGGTTCAGCTAAAGCAAGGTAAGCGAACCGGGTTTTTCTACCTAAAAAATTTCGGTTTACCATACCGGCTTCGAGGTTCACTTTTTCGGAGATAACCGGTCGACGCGTGGATTCCCCTGTTTTCAGGTTTAGCCTTATCTCCGACAAAACACTCTCAAGTGTTTCTTCGTCGTGTTCGTTGAAAATTGAATCAGGTGGCGTCATACATGACCCAATCACGACAATCTCGTCTGTTTCTGGTTCTTCCCAAGCGTTCCATAGATGGAAACAGAAGCAATCAGCTACTTCGATCCATCGAATCGACGAAGCATCTTCCGCGTATTTATTCAAAATCCCGAATCTCGATTTCTTCTTCTTGTCGTAAACCACAGGGGAACCACCTCGGATCATCTCAGGCAATCGGAAAACCACTTGTTGGTCTGGAATCACTACGAGATTCTCTGTGATCGCGAAATCGTGGATCATAGTAGGTTGATCAAGCGGAATCTCGACGTCTGGAGATTTTTCGCCGTCGGGTGTGAATCTGAAGTATTTTAAGAACGGCTTAGAAACGACGTCGTAGCTAAGAGCGAATAGTTCTCGGGTTTCCGGGTCTATTTTCGGGTGGGCAATCATTGTGGATTTTAGCTGGCCGTCGAAATCGTACCGACCCGAAGTCTCTAAATCTCCGGTTGGAGTGACTCTGACATGGTACGGTAGATCGTCTTCGGACATGGCCAAGAGATGACCGTTGAAATAGACTAAACCGGCATTAGCGACACCGAGTCCATGGGTCGGGTCGACTAACCCGAATAGTCCTCGGGCATTGAAGAGCATAAGCTTGGCTATGCCTAAATGTCCGTGAAGCTCTCCAATCGCTTTGGGGAAAACAGAGCGACCCAATTCTCGCTCTTGAACAAACCGGTTTGTTTCGGTAAACCGGCACGCATAGCTAACCGAACCGTTATCGAACCGGACAGCGTGAATCATACCGTCTCCGTCGAAGAAATGGTGGCCGGAGATTGGCTTGTGAAGCGGATTAGCACCGTTTCTGACATACACTCCTTGAATACACTCTGGTACTGTTCCACTCACCGGAAGATTATGACGGACTGGTTGCTCCGGGACCGGGAAGAAGTTTCCGGCTATTTGCACGGCGGGGTCCGCCGTTTTAGGAAGCGGATGACGGCGGCGCTCGTGCGAAAGCATGGCGTTCTCCACCGCGTCTAAGATCGTCGCGGCGGTTCTCTGCACCGGGTTTAATTTTGGGCTCTGGTTCGTCATTTTGGGGATCAAACTGGCTGCATCGTTACATAGTTCCTTTTGTAGTTGGTATGTCGTTGGAGATTGTTGAGAAGACGAAACGGTTAGTTTTTTGTTGACGGACTGAGAAACAGAGCAAGGGTTTTGTTTCTTGTTTCCGAGTGTGGAGGAAGAGGAAAACGACAGAGATTGAATACTGGGGCTCGAAGAAGAAGAAGAAGAGGTTGAGAAAGTTCGATCTTGAAATTGGGTTGAAGTAGAAGGAAGTAAGGTAGTAGAAATAGAAGCCATACTCGAACGCTGCGTTTTGGTCTCGTATTAGTTTCGTCGAGATCAAGTTTGTGTTTTGTCCATATTGTGAGAGAGAGAGAGAGAGAGGTGCGAGTATTTTGCGAAAACAAGGGGCAAGAAGATTTTATATGCAAGGATGAAAGAAGGGTAATATCGTCTCTTTGTAGTCATTTTTACATGTGTCTAAATTCTATATCTGATGAGACTGATTTTCCTAGTCATTTTTACATGTGTCTTTAGTTCTGTATCTGATGAGACTGAATTTGCTGGTTGTTTCTCCGCAAAAATATACAAAAACAAATATGACATTCGCCTGATATCAATTTCTCCTTTTATTCAGTGAGAATAAGTTGACAAAAAAAAAAAAAATTCAGTGAGAATAAATTTCATAAATCCTTAAATGTTTCTTTTTTTTTGTAACAACATAAATCCTCAATATTCTGAAAAATCTGATTAAATATTCATCAAATCATATATTCAGGTGTTAATATAAATTAAATACGTAGTATTTTAGTATGTCCAAAGCATTTATAATCAATAATATTCCTCGAAAAGTGTAGTTATCAATAATGTCACGTAACATAAAACAAACAACAAAATTAACGTTCCCATTCTCAATTAATGTCAAAAAAACCTTTTGTCATATTATAACAATTGGGATGATACCAACAATGTGTGACATTAGCTAGGGAACTTACGATCGTTTTACTTAGAAATATTCATAATTTACTTTTCAAAAATAATGGCTGAGAATCATACTATAACGAGCATATCGTACGTGAATCTGATAATCATATTAATCCAGTTAGAAATTAGAAAATAATATGTAAGTACGAAAATCATGTTATTACTTAGTTTTAAAAATCAAATTATTAATTGGACAAACAAAACTTTGGCATTATGCATATGGATATTTTCAGAGATTAGTATATAAATTAAAAATGAAGACGCGTTTGGTGTTCCACGGCTAATGGAAGTGGAGAGTCTGGACTCTAGAGAGTGGACTGTCTTTTTGGTTAAGACGCGTTGTTGCCTTCACATCAAACGCCTTAACTGCACCACACGTGGCGACTTCCCCGTTCTTGTGACTTAATTCCCACGAATGTAAAATTAAATAAATAGTAAACAGTCATTTTTTTAGTTATTTATGTGTTATTGCTCTTTTCTCTTAATTTCTTTTTATAATATTTATTACTTAAATATAAAACTTAACTAACTTTTCTCAAAAACAAAGTTCAAATGATCATTATTAAAAAAATCAATACGTGTGAAAGTTTTTTAGAAATATTAGTTAGATACAGAAATAGTAAATTATAAAAGAATCATATTCAATAATACTATTATTTAATTAACATTTTTTAACCAACTAAACACTACCTCATAACAAAAATGATCCGATATTGAGTGAGATTAAATTTTACATAGAATTTTATAGTAAAAATGAAACAAAATAAATTCTACTAATTTAGTATAAAGGAACAAATAATATCTTATATAAAGGAACAATAAAGGGAAATTTCTTAATGTTTAATTTTCTTTGAATTTCTTTCTTCAAATATATATACAAAATTAATTTGATATTTTATAACTATTTATAGTCTGCAGTATTTTTTTTAGTTATTTATTATTATTTCCTATTTAATAAATTGAGATTTATTAATTTATTATTAATATTTTTATTGGTTGATTTAGTAGTAATTAGATATTAAATACCTTTTTGATGTAAAAAAAGACACGAAAAATAAGTTGGATGGTTATGATTTGTTGAGTAAACATCCACTTGAATATTGAATATTAAGATGCATCACAGTCCACTAATAACACAATTAATTAATCATTTTAATTCGTTCTTAATTAACGGAATATGCAGGCCTTCAGGTGGAACCAGATTTATAAATCAAACTCCCAATTGTATAACATTAGAGTTTGTCTATAGCATAAATATTCCATTCATGATTTTTAGGAAGAAACTTTGTTACATGATATTTGATTGGATCTTTAACAAAATATAATATATTTACTAAACTAGATTGTGGGTATTAGGTTTGAATTGAAAGATAATCGTAAACTTAAATATTATGCGTCGTAAAAATAAGAGATTATAGTAATTATAAGTCAAACACCTCGAGCACCAAAATGTATAGTTTCTTATGGCCTGAAAAATTATGCATATATCATTTACCCTAAGACCACCTCCATCCATAGTATACAAAGAAGGGGATCTAATCCTAATTTTAATAGTTTTTTATTCTTTTTAATGCACTAGAACTCCATTATAATTTTTTCATTAGATTAGTGTCCAATGGTAGTCTCTTAAAGGAAGGCTCTAATTGTTTTTTTTTTTTTTGCAATTTTTCAAATACAAATATTTTTATGAATACAAACATTATATTAATACAAATATTTTATTAATACACACATTTTATTAATACAAATATTTAATTAATACAAACTTAGACATAGAATACAGAAAAACAAAACAAAAGAGAGATGCAAATCATAACCCGGAAATAATAAGATTAGTTGTAATCTTGAATTGAACCAAAATTATTCCACAAATGCTCAACTAAATCTTCTTTTAATTGTTCATGCGTAGTTCGAGAATGCAGTGAATTCCGGATGGCCATAATATTAGTGAGATTTGAAGGCATATTGGTATAATACGTCATATCCACATGTGAAGTTCTGTTTGATTCTCCTTGTGTGAATTCTTCAACATTAGACAAACTGTACCCATCTCGTTCGTCTTCTACAATCATGTTATGAAGTATTATACAAGCTCGCATAATTTTTCCTATCTTCACCTTATCCCACATCAGAGCTGGATTTTTGACAATGGCAAACCGAGCTTGCAAGACTCCAAAAGCACGCTCGACATCTTTACGGGTAGCTTCTTGACGTTTTGCAAAAAAACATGCTTTGTCACCTTGTGGTCGGCTTATAGATTGGATAAATGTAGCCCATTTTGGATAAATTCCATCGGTGAGATAGTAAGCTAAGTGATACTGTCGTCCGTTGACAAAGTAATTCACTTTCGGAGCTTTACCTTGGAATATATCATCAAATACCGGAGAACGATCGAGCACATTAATATCATTTAAAGTACCTGGCGGGCCAAAAAATGCGTGCCATATCCAAAGATCTTCTGAAGCTACAGCCTCTAAAACGATTGTCGGTTTGCCAGATCCTCGTGTGAATTGTCCGGCCCAAGCAGTGGGACAATTTTTCCACTCCCAATGCATACAATCGATGCTTCCTATCATCCCGGGAAATCCGCGAGATTCTCCACTATCTAGTAGGCGTTGAAGATCTTCTGGTGTGGGTCTTCGTAGATACTCATCTCCAAAAAGATATATGATTCCTTCTACAAAATTTTCCAAGCAAGAAAGGGCGGTGCTTTCACCAAGCCGGAGGTATTCATCAACCGCATCAGCCGCACAACCATATGCCATCATACGAATGACTGCCGTAGATTTTTGTAGTGCAGAGAGACCGGATCTTCCGGTAGCATCTCGTCTTTGTTGAAAGAATGGAAGATGAGTAGAGAGGCCATCAACAATACGCATGAACAAAGGTTTGTTCATTCTGAAACGACGACGAAACATATAGGGTGGATATGTTGAATCTTCCCGGAAATAGTCGTTCCATAAACGGATATGGCCTTGTTCCCGATCTCTCTCAATATATGCTCTTTTTTTTTTGTTGATCTTTGACGATTGCTCTGATTAACAAGTAGATTTTCAAATGCATTTTCATATGCATTTTCAAAAGCTTCCTCGAATTTGTCTTCAATAATTTTCTCAAAATTATTATTGGATGAAGATGCCATAGAAGATGGTTTTTTGTTATGAGAAAGAAAGATGATGAAGAGAGTTAGAAAACGATGTAGGAAGAAGAGAGTTGTAAGAAATAAAGATGATGTTGAATAAGATGATTTGTTTGTGAGCATTTGCAATCTTCTAATATATAGACAATACGCTTGAGTTTACACCATTCATTGAATATGTGGTGGGATGAGTTGTGTGGTGTGTAATAAATTGTGCCATAAATTGTGTAATAAATTGTGTGGTGTGTACATATGAATACAAAACCACCACTTGCTCAAGACTTGGCCAAAAACATCGGATAAAAAGAAGTGGGACATAACAAATTGGGACAGAAAAAGAAGTGGGACTTAAAAACATCGGCTAAAAGTTTTTAACGGCCAATACAAAATAGCAGGCCCAAAATATAGCTAAGTACCAGTTCCAAACCTTATATTGCACAAAACATCGGCCAAAATAATAATGGTGGCCCAAACCTATATGAATATACAAATTGTAGCCATTTCTTCAAAGCCTCCTTTGTAGTCGTTTGTCCATGACTTTGTTACCTGCAATAAGAAAAAAGAGATCATGAACAAGTGAATATAAGTCATACAAATGATAAAGGAAACAGAATCATATATATATATGGAGTCTTGAATACAATACATAGAACCTAAACCAAAAGACAAACAACTGAAAGGCTTTATAAAAATACATAGAACAAACATTACAAGACATAGAAGTTATACCCGAGACTTAACAATATGACATACCCAAAAAGACTTAACAATATGACATACCCAAAAGACTTAACAATATGACATACCCAAAAACTAACTCATACCAAAGAAAAACAGACCTCACCCTTAACTCACTCATACAAACTCTCACATATTTGACAACATTTCCTTAATGAGCTTGTTCTTAAGCTCGAATTCTACCTCAGTAAGAGGTTCGGTTTTTGCAAGCAGATTTTCGAGTATCTTTTGCTTGTTAGTCTTATCTTTCAATGCTAACTCTCTTTCCCTTAGCTCAAAGATGCTTCTAAAGTCCACTAAATCCTTACCATCTTCTTCCAAACGACCACCATTGGTCTTTGTTGTTTTTTTTTTGCCCTTGGAAGCTTTTACACCAGCAGGCCGAGGAATTCCTTCATCATCTCCATGCCTCAAAAGAGCATCGGTTCCTTCAACTCTAGCACCATCGGTTCTTCTTTTTTTTTGAGCTTCCATTTCCTGCCCACTTCTGATCATGACGCAGTTCTCTCCAGCAGTGCTCCATGGTGAATTTGTGTTTCGTACCTTACAGTTAGTTGGCCCTCTCTTATCTTCAGCAGACACGTCAGGACTCGCCGCATAGTAGATGGCTATTCT